TGAGAAGTGTGGGATTTAATGGTTTTAGATCTGGACCCATTCTAGGGACTAAAAGTCAGGATATCCCTGCTGCATTGATTTGGAATTTTAGCCGCGCTAGCGGAGCCTTGTATAATCTGTCTCTTGTGAGTCCCTTTAATGTGGATCATGTAGTTTCTCTTAACTATTTCTGCATACAATATCCATCTACATAAAGTAGCTGGTGCTTTGGTCACATTGTGCTTTTAAGTAAATTGGCAATGTGTCAGGGTTTCCTAAATAGAACCCAGAAGCAGACCGGAGACAGAGAGCAGTTCAGGATGTTTATTACAGGGCACAAAAGGTGGATGGTAAGAACAGAGAGGGTGGCGGGCAGACAGAGAACTTGAGCTGAGGTCTGAGAGGTGGGTGCTGATGGGCAGGCAGGGTAGCGAGGGTTGGGTCCAGAGATCACAAAACCGATGGCAGGTGCAGATTACTAGAGATGGAGAGAAACCAAATTACTAAGGATCCGAAACACTAACTCAACAAGGCAAGTTAACATGAAGTTGGCTGGTGCGAGTGCATACACATATGACACAATGATCCTGCAGCGACTGGATGGCTGGAGGCAGTATAAGAAGGCTGAGAAGATTGCTTGATGAATAGCAGGTGAGTGATCAGGGATGGGGAGCAGGTGAATGAGTGAACCAGATCCGAGAACACGACTCCCCTTCGCCGACCGTGCAAGGAAAGGGGGGAGAACACAGACAGACAAAACAAAAACCAAAAGACACCAAGCATCCCGCAATTGCACAAAAGGGAAAAATAATCAAAACTCACGTATACACATACCAAGAGCCTGGGGCAAGGGGTCAAGGCTTGGGGATTGTGACACAATGACTTCAATAAAAAAGTTGGACAACATTTCAGCACCCCTCACCAAAAAAAAAAACTAACCAATGAATTAAACAGTACCATTGTATTGGAACTTGCAAATATTATGCTGTAAATTTTTGTCTCTTTAAGAAGTTTGTCTACTTAGATGACGAGAGACGTTGCTTTGTCACTATTTAAACTTTGCTGAAGGACGACAAAGAGCAGGTATAAACAATGTGTGTCAAAACATCTTGTTTGTTTTCCCAACTGTCAAAAGTTTGGGAAATTTGACTCATGCACATTAGGAAGCACTTTATATTAGCGCCAAGAGGGACAGAAAGGTGTTTAAATATACTTCTAGGTGGTCCAGATATTGAGGTCAAAAGATGAATATAGAAAGGGACAAACGTTGAGCGATGTGTGAGTGATCATCACCTCTGGGCCTCAGACTGTTTGCCTGATCAATTAACTAATACTACTGTATGTGTAACTACAGAGCCAACTGTGTATGTGTGTGTTGTACGCATATGTGCGTATCGGTGCTCTTTTTGGAACATGTTTACCTTCTGTTCACCTTTTTCTGAGAAACTGCGTCAGTGATCAAAGGGAGCATCTGGGGGAATCGATTGACAAAGTCGAAGTGTATGTACATACGTGTGTGAGAGAGAGCGATAGCAAGACGGAGAGTTTTCACACTCTCCTTTCAATCTGTCTGGCGACTGTATTAGGACTTGAGTGGCTGTCACCCTAGGGTGATGCCACCGCTACCTCTGCCTGTTTACCTCCTTTCCATTCAATAACCCAATCTGATACAAGACGTCAGGTCAGCTAATACTGACTAATTGCAATGGATGAAGGGGGGGTGTGTGCAGAAAATGCCATCAGCAAGCCAAATTACTTTTAATTACAGCCTATAACCAGATAGAGCAGATCTGTCAATCTCCAACTCACTCTGCAACTGGGACAGAGGGGGAGGGTGGGGTGAGTTGAATGGAATAACAGCAGGGATCCAGAGCGAGTGGAAGGAGAGAAAGGACAGTATGCAAGAAGGTATAGACGAAGAGAGAGTGGTTATGGTAAACTAGAAAAGCAAGGGAAAGATGGTCTTTTGCCAGTTAACACGTCAGAGAAGCATTATTTGAACTATGTGCACAGTGTCTAGCAATTCACTCTGAGTGAAACTCTGCTGCCCTCTAAAGGTTACAAAACATAAATAAATATTCCAAAAGCAGCTTGTATTCCTGTGAGCGTGTGTGGAACGTGTGTGTATGTGTGTGTATGTGTGTGTGTGTGTGTGTGTGTGTGTGTGTCCTGATTGCTTGGTAAAACCGTGAAGCCCTTTGAAGACAGACCAAGGGATTGGATGAGCTGTGGGTGCAGGGTCGGGTTACCAGGGGGTGGAGAAGGAGGAGAATGGTGCTGATGTGAGGTGAGAAGCATGAAGGAGGGCCAGCGACAGCAACCAGGAAGAATGGATTAACACACTTGGATGAACCCTCCCCTCACACGCGCAAACACACACACACACACACACGCACATACAAATGCACAATGTGTCAAAGTCAATGGCCTGCAGGTAAAGCTAGCCTTTTGGGAAGGTTTTCTCCCCCTCTCAGTTTTAACTGAAAATCCCACTTTCCTCACTTACCTGGAAATACTGCTGTGAATAGACCGCAGAGTGACATTTAGAACATGTGTGCAAAAGTCCTCACCGTAAAAAATGACTTGAGCCGAAAAAGCGGGATGCATTGATTTCCCTCAAATGTCAGGAATGAGGGTGTAGTAAGTGTTACAATAAAATGCCACACCCTATAAAATTCCAGAGGACACATCCTTCAACTTGATGCCCTAAAAAAACACATCAGAAAGTTTATTGACTTTCATTTTCACACCACACCAGATACACTTTAGTGACTTTACTTTATTGAAAAGTAGGTTGTACCGTAGCTAGTTAAAGACCCTAAAATAATTGTTTTTTCTTTTCAATAAGCCTCTTTTTATGAGTTACTATGGGTCCTACATGAACCCAAACCTTTCTGCCAAAGGTGGGACAGTTAGATAGAGATTTCTATCTATGCGGTTGCATCCATGCTTGTCTCACTGATTTGAAGTTGGCAGGTCTCTGGTGGGAAAAGGTGATGTCACTGTCACATACTTTAGTTTACTGATCGGCAACATTTGAAAATCTGAATCTTTTATTGTTGCTTGTTTAGTCACACATAGTTAACAGTGCAAAACCAGGTTTTCAGGGGCTTTAAGCTTGGCTGATTTTGTAGCATATTAAAAAGCAAATAATAAGCTTGGGTCAGAGTTCACTGTATACTGCAAAGACAACAATTTGATGGCTCCAAGAAGACGCAGCTGACACAGAAGGTTCAGTTAGAGTTTTTCCATTGTGTTTGCATTTCAAAAATTAATTACATGTTTGCTTTTAAAGGACACCACTAGTGAAGTTGGCATGTTTATTCACTCCATGCTTTCCTCAGTGGCACAGTGATCTCAGGAAATGTTGGACTGAAGTGAGCTGGAATGAGTTTGTTTGTGTTCTGTGTCATTTAACTGAATCGAGCGCTTCAAGGAAATGAAATGGAATTGAAGCATTTCTTAAGGGAGAAAGACATCAATAGGGTTAGGGCAGCTAAATGTGACGTTATGAAACTATTGAAACCATTTCTAATCAAAACTCATGCCAGTATTTCAATTAATTGTTTAAGTGGTTTTGGATTGCCTGCGTGTTTATTGATAACATTCTAATATATTATAAAATACAACACATGGAGTTTATCAGTAAAACAGTCCAACACTTATTTAAATTGTTGTCCCTTCAAACTCCCTGTAAAGATGATGACAAAAGGCTTTCACATCTCAGACCTTATCAGAATGAATTAGAACAAGAAAATGCCATGGTGGCCGCTTTACCATCACTCCGTGACTTTTCTGGCCACTGTGAACTGTAAAAAATGGATTAGCTTCATTTGTCAGGCAATTTCCTCCGAATGAGGGACAAGAAATGAAATATACCACCGCCACGCACACATGCACTCCCCATCTTAAAAATAAAAGGATTGTCTGAATTACTGAATTATTTTTAGATGAGGCATGAATTTCCACAGCAGACAGTTTCTAATCAATTTTAATCAGGTCTTCTGCTGCTTTTTGGAAAGTATTGGCTCTAAGACGTGTCAGACAACGGAGCAATACAATATTGTACTTGGCTGTGAATCCATTATCAACATGTGCTGGGCTGGAAATGTGACAAAACTGCAATCTGATTAGATACAAATGAAGACCGGATAAATGAAAAGTCTAACTACACGCTGCACCAATGTGGACATTGTCGGTGATCGGAATACTTGCTGCTACATTTGTCTGCAAATAGCTCTAGCATAGCTTTCCAATTTTACTGCCATTTGATCACGTTTAATAGTATCAAACTTGGTAATTACACGTTCAGATTTCAGTCATTTGAACAGCCATTTTCAAATTAACACCATTTAACTGATAAAGAAGTGTACTTGATTAGCGCTTTCCAGTTAGCACCTTTAAAACAATTACATCATCATCTGATAGGTGTGCAGCAGGGATTGACTCCCGTCCTCTTAAGCCTCCACTAAAACAAGGTTTGCATTATTTCATTTAGCGGAACTCGATGAGTCCATAAATCAGATATCAGTGCTGTAACTGCTTGCTGTTCGAGCAATTTGTCTTCTTAGTCCTATGGGAAATACCTGACTGACTAGTCATTACTTTCACTGTACGACATAATATATTTTTAAAATAAGTTCATAATTAAAAGCTGCTGGACTTTTAACCCAAACTGCTCTGTGGTCACTGCGATCGGTCATTCCTGGGCAAAGGTGGCTTAAAACAAGCCCTAGCTGCCAGCAGCAGGTGTGGAATATGCCATTGTTGTTTCCATGGGAACCCATACCACAGTGTGCATCGTCCTCTGTTGTTAGATGCCGTGACGCTCTTTTCCGTGTTCCCACGCACAGCTGTGCACCGACAGGATTGGGTCTCTTATTGTCTCCGATAACTCCGGAGACACTGACACTGTCTGTGAAGGGCATCCTTTAAACAACTGTCCTTTTTATGCTTCTTTACCCCATCCCACCCCCCCTCCCCCCACAACCCCCAGTCTTCAGAACTGAACACCATCAATCTAGCCATTTACTTTAACTTTATTTCTCACTCCATTAGTTTCTAGGACACAGAGCGGCACGTGGAGAGAGAAGGGGGGCGGGGGAGAGAGGAGAGAGATAGAGAATGTGAAAAAAACAAAAAGAAAGTTTGGCTCCTTGGAGAGATAAAATGTAATTTCACAGTCAACTTGCTGTGATATATTATTTCACAACAATGGGATGTGGGCTGATATGAGCCCTGCTTGGCACCTGTACAGAGCAGTTAGAACAGCGATGGCTCTCTGGAGAGGTCGGCGGTGGTGTGTGTGTGTGTGTGTGTGTGTGTGAGAAGACAAAATCCCCCCCCCAAAAAAAAAATAAAATCACCTGAATGGAGGTACCAGGAGGGTCCACCCCAGTGGATCAGAGTGAGCAGTCTATTAAAACATATGAGCAGTCATGAGTCATGATACAAGGCAGAAAAATCTGGTTTTGTTTAGAGTTACTTAATATGAAATAATATTTCCAGTCTGTGATTCTATGCCTTTGTGTATTGAGCTTTAGTAGGAATAAGCAGTGTGACAGCAGGTGTTTATAAAAAAAATCCAATACTCTCCTATTCTTCAGCATGTTGGCAGTAAGACAGTTTGGCCAAATGAATGAATCTAAACATAATTTATTCCAGCAGCTGCACTCCCGTGTTGCTTCTGCTTCACCATTACACACACTGTTATCCAGGAACATGGTAAAGCATTGATAGATGCCTCGTGCTTCATTAGCTACAGTCTCTCAGCCTGGGAAGCACTTACACAATATCAAACAGCTTCAACCAGAAACCCAATGAGGCAAAAAACCTAACCTATGCACTACATACAGATGAAGATGGGATATGAGACGTCATGTGAGAAATGACTCAAAAAAACTCAAAAGTAAAAATATTAGCTGACATCCCTTCAGTGGTGCTTTTGAAGCTGTTTTTTCTTTTTGGGTATTAATCCGATATCAAATCAAATATATAATCAAATATTAAAAACAAGAAAGACAAGAAAATAATTGATATCAGTCAATATATTAATGATGTCAAGTGCAATATAACAGGACAGAGATGTATTTATGGGTGTACCCTTGTCGATTTCTCACAGTTTGCTGTTCTTCTGAAACTGGGACACCAGTCCCAGCACCTGCTCTGATGCCGGGATGACCTTATTCTGCAGGTAAAGCGCACTGTTTGTAGACGTCTCGTTCAGGAAGTAACGATAGTTCACCATGATGCCGCAGGAGTTCGCCACACCCCTAGGGCTGGTGTCAGCGTGCCAGTTGAGCCGCCACATGGTGGCGCCGTTTTGCAGGTGGAAGTTGGCCACCGGGTTGAGAGCGTAGCCTCGCCTCTTCTCCCCATAGAGGTACCAGGCGCACAGACGCATCAGGGCGGGCTCTAGGACACGGGACAGCCGCCCAGACTGCATCCACTCGCTCGTGCCGACCAGCTTGCGGAGCGCCTCAAAGGCCGGTGTGCCCGGGGCCGAATCAGTGGCCTGTTCCACTTCCTTCCACTCCTGCTCAGACAGGAGGTCAGAGCCACGGCCCTCCTTCCTGTACTGGCTGAGAAGGCCCTGGAGCCAGGAGGAGAAGCCTGGGATTGGAGACAAGCTCGAGAACTGACCCATGTGGGGGAACTCACTCTGAAAGACATGAGGAGAGAGGGAGGTAGAGTTAACCCTTAAACGCAAACCCGAGATCATTTTACACCCCGTGGAATTCATTAGCCCTCAAATCCCTTCTAATCCTCAAACTATTTCAAAACTGAGAACAAAATGGCAGCAACTTCAACTGGCAGCGTTCTCAACATCAACAGTGAAAAGGCAACTCCGGGATCCTGGCCTTCTAGGCAGAGTTGCAAAGAAAAAGCCATTAAAAGAAAAGATTAAGCCCTAATCTTTTCTTTTTATTGGCCGGTTTGAGATATGGCTTTTTCTTTGCCACTCTGCCTAGAAGGCCAGGATCCCGGAGTTTCCTTTTGGTTGTTTATGTTGAGACTAGTGTTTTCCGGGGTACTATTTAATGATGCTGGCAGTTGAGGACCTGCGAGGCGTCGGTTTCTTAAACTAGACCTAATGTATTTGTCCTCTTGCTCATTTGTGCACCAGGGACTTTCGCTCCTCTTTCTGTTCTGGTTAGTGCCAGTTTGCACTGTTCTGTGAAAGGAGTAGTACACAGCATTGTGCGAGATCTTCAGTTTCTTGGCAGATTCTCGCATAGAATAGAATTCATTTCTGAGAAGAAGAACAGACTGACAAGTTTCAGAAGAAAGTTCTTTGTTTCTGGCCATTTTGAGCCTGTAATGTGACCCACAACTGCTGATGCTCCTGATACTCAACTAGTCTAAAGAAGGCCAGTTTTATTGCTTCTTTAATCAGCACAACAGTTTTTGAGCTGTACTACCATGCTTGTTAAAGGGTTTTCTAATGATCAATTAGCCTTGCAAAATGATAAACTTGGATTAGCAAACACAATGTGCCATTGGTACAAAGGGCTGATGGTTGCTTATAATGGGCCTCTGTACCCCTATCTAGATATTACAAATCAGCCATTTGCAGCATTTACAACAATCTCTACACTGTACACTTCTGATCAATTTGATGTTATTTTAATGGACAATGTGCTTTTCTTTTGAAAACATGAGATTTTCTAAGTGACCCCAAACTAGCAAGCAGTAGTGTATATAAAAACATCCATGTATTTAAGGGTTAAAACGGTTTATTTTGAAAAACTAAAAGTGGCTAACTCATTTACAAACGCAAGCTTGACAGTTCAACACAGAATTGCCTCAACCAGCTTTCACCGCTTGAAGAGGGGTAAGCAAAAAAGAAATCTATCAAAGGGGTGGGAAGGAGAAAACAAGGTAAAGGTATAAAGCAAACAGATGAAAAACAGCAGAGATTTGATCCCCACCAGAATGCAAAGGGCACCAGCTTTGCATCAGCAGAAATAAGGGAGATAAACACTCAAACTCAGTATCAAAACACAAATCAAAATGTTCTTGTTTGGGCTCGGGCTGCTGGACCGCATTACAAATCAGCACCACTGCTTCACAATCCTGCCCTTCTGATGGAGATGGATGATCCACTCTCTCCTTCCCTCCCTCTTATTCTGTCCTCCTCCTCCTCAGTCCCTCACACTCTCACCTTTAATACCCTTCCTCTTCTCTCACTCCCCTCTCCCACGTCTCTGTCTCGTCTCGACCACACACACACACACATACGACACACACACCTAGCCATCTCATGAGTTCTCTTCCACCCCACTACCTCTCTCTCTCTTGCCGAATTGCTCCCCCTCTTCTCCACCCATCTTTGCGCTCCGGCGTCGGGGTTGATAAGTGATGGAGCGATGTGGCAGGCAAAGGAGTGAAAGGCTGTACATGAAAGTGGAAGTGTCAGACAACCCCTGGAGGGACACGCTGCTGTCTGTCTGCTTTGCTCTGCGACAGTGGTTTCCTTTCTTCTTCCTTGATTTCATCCTCCCTTCACTAAAAAAATCCAGCCTTCTCACTTTCCATATCCCGCTGGCTCTCGCCTTGTGTTCCTTCTCACTTTTCTGTATCATGATCTCGCCTTCTTCACCCCAACCGCTACTTTGAACTACTCGGTGCTCCCTATGCTGAGAGCAGGCAAGGTTAACAGAGATAGAACGGGGTGGAAATAAGGTCAGAGGCAGTGAGAAAGGTTAAAAAAGGGACAGGGACTAAAGGATACAGAGAAAAAGAAGGACCAGTGCCAGAACTGTGCTCCAGGGTCCAATCAACAAAGACAAGCAAGACCTCCTCACTTCACCTTAAATCACCACCGTGACCTTTTCTTTTCCACTCTATCATCCATCCATCATCATAGTTGTCCCTCTGTGGCTGTGTTGCTCCTCTCTTCACCTTTGCATAAGGCAGAATACAACCGTGTCGGGGTCAGGGGTTTGATTCCCAATAGGGTCATAAAAAATAATACCCACTCATGGGGTGCTTTGGATAAAAATGTCCAGAAAGAGGTATGAAAGTTGCATAGATGAGTTCAATTACAAACAGTGCCTTATGCCCTACAGAGCCAAAATGCTGTAACTACATACTGGTATTCTATCAAAAGTAAGTTTAGATGGGAATATAAACTTTTTTGCAATACAAAAAGAGTTTATGCCATAAAAATATTGATGAATGAAATGAAAAACTGCACATGCTTACTCTGGCTTGGTAATCTGCTCTAGAAGCTACAGTCACCCTTAACTGTGCTCTCCACCACAGACAACCAACTAGACAACTACAGCAAGAGAGGTATGCTGTGTCTCAATTCGCACCCTTCCATACTTACAAGAATGGCAAAATGCAGCGTACTATGAGTACCTGGATGGTACACCCATAATGGTCAAAAAGTTGAGTGTGGAACGCTGGACACTTGTCATCCTCAACGGTCACCATCTGGGCTACAGAAAGGGAGGGAACACCGACCTATTTTCAAACTTGTGAACAAAGCGACCGAAGAAGCTGCAGCGGTGACAATTGTAAAGTATGTTCATTTTTATTCATTTTTTATAAGTCAGCAGTGAGTGAAGTGAGCAGACAAGCCGGCAGATATTTTGGTGGGTGACAATCGCGGTCAAATGTTGGCAATAATGATCTGTGCAGATACAATTTGCCATAAAAAAGTGAAAGCTAGCAAGTATGCTGGCCACCGCTAGCCTTGGCTAAAACAAAATATACTTATTGTGTTTTCCCTAGCTGTTAACTGTGCGTTAAGTGAAAATATACATTTTAATGAACTTACCTCTTGGTGATAAATTTTGTTATTCGACATAAGTTCTATACTAATTGTGAAAACATCCCCAGCTAAACTCCTGCTAAAGCTAACATATCTAGCTTAGTAAAGAAGCAGTAACTGCCAATTCAGGATTTGACTTTCATCTCTGCTGGTTTTTGTGAGGTTAAGATACCTTGAAATAATGTATTTCAATGTATTAAATTTATTTTATTTTATTTATTAATTTAATGATTCAAAGAAAACATTAGCATAGTAGTTGGACAGACAGACACCTCAAAACATAGGGACTAAATGTCCCTATGTAATATGGACTGTAACCATCAAATTAATGTTTATTATTTATTTTTAAAAAGCTGAGAGAACATTTTGATTGTAGCAACAGTCTTTCCAAAGATGTTTTTAGGTATTATGTACCTGATACGGCAAGGATTTATTTGGGTAAAATAATGTGACACACATTTGACCTGCCTGAAAACTCAAATTCCTTTTCCCCCATAATCACCGAGTTGTAGTTACTGCTCTGTGCTTTTGTAGGGTAATACAGAGAAGCTAAAAAGTAGCACACCTATATTTTGGATTGTTATTATTGCATTAGAAGACAACAAAGATGACAAGAATCTTCTCCTGTCAACTTTGTTTTTTTGTTGTCCTGACATGCAAAGCTAGCAGACCTCTTGATGAAGACAACATTTCCCATCTAGAAGGCTTTCAAAACACAGTACAATATAACCTACTTTCCAACCCCTGACACAAACAGCTTTAATGCTAAAGCAGAAAACACAAAACAATATCTGCTGAGCTCACTGAACCATGTGTCGCCATTAATAAAAATGCCAATAAGTGAAAAGCTTGCAGCAATCAAAACAGTCCCCTCGTATATATAATAATAATAAATAAAGTGGAAGCAGCTTAAAGGTCTGAAAACTGATTTTTATCAGGATACACTATAAAGAGCTATTTCCCATCTGTTGGATAGAGCGGCTTTTGATGTTCCAGCCAATGTTCCAATCATTTAACAAGTGCTAGCTGGAGTGGCCTGGCATGAAGGGCTCTTCTGCGCTTATTGAGAGGGATGGATGAGATTTCATGACTGCCTGTCTAGTGACAACTGCTCTGTTTATGTGGGTATGCATTTATGTGTGTAGAAGCAAGTGCTAGAACAAGTGGGCGATTCATGATTCAGCACTAAGACTGAGAAAAAAAAAACATTTGAAAAGCAATCAAACAAAAATCTTGCCTCTTTGTCACAGCTATTTCTCGCCAGCTGGGCCACACCTGAAGTCTACCATATATTAAATTCTGCATGCAAGTCATACAGAGTGAAACGTGTTGTTCCTTGGAAGGAGACAAACAACACCAGAGGGGAGGACAGAGGAGCTCTACAGGAGTTAACAGCTGTATCTGTGCATGTGTCATGTGAACTGTCATGATAAGGTGTTATTATCTAGCTATAATGGGACAGAGTGGCTTTAAATCTTCACTGATATGACTGGGTACCTTATGGTTATTTAAATAACAGATGTTTACATAACCTTCAGTGCCCTTATGCCTTACTCCAGCTTTACCCAAGCCAAGTCTTTCAAGAATTTAAATAGAATGGATTCAAATAATTAATCTGTTACAATTTTCGAAACTGGCTTTGGCTCTAATTTCACAGCATTTTAATTAGCAAAACTATGAACACAAAATGCTACACATCACATTACATTGTTTCATTTTTAAATAAAATGGTAATTTCCTCAAAGATTATCTAAATGGCAATAAGAAGACATTTGCAATTTACGCAGAAGCCAGTACTGATTTAATGCAATGTAATGATGAGTAAGAATGACTTTTGAAAACTTTAATTTGATTTATGATATGTGCTATATTACTGAAATTATAGATAAAAGACTAGAGCCTGACTTTCCCATACAGTAAATCATACATACATTATGAATTTACTACATTAATTAATGCACTAATTCACTGCATTAGTTTACTTTTCTGTTATGCATCTACTACAATGTTTGTTCAAGGCCAATTTATATTTGTGATTTTGACCTTTATACAGTACATACAATTCTGTAATTCTGGAAAGCATGTACCATTAAACCATAATTTAAACTTCCATAACAGACACTCCATGCATTTACATCGGCAGTAACCAACTCGTGCCAATTTGAGGTGGCTGTATGTGGAGGACTGAACATGTGATTTAGTGATTTGCACTTTTTATGTCAGCACAGCAATTTGTGTTTAAGGGTAACAATTTAGGAAGTCAGTTTGTGTCTTTGTGTTAAGAGGTCGTAAACTCTACTGTGAAAGTAAACGAAGAATACTTTAAATTCTTCAAAATGTTATAATTTTCCCAGCTCCCAAAAATAACTAATTAAAATTAAGTAAATTGTCTTTCTGAATGGAACTTTTCAGAAGACCCAACTAAACGTTAAGTTTATTTTTTATGAGTTAGTTTCTTGGTTGCCACATCCATTCACAGTTCCAACATTTTGCTGACAAACGTACTACACTACATCCTGCATCCCCCCCCACACTCACCTGTAGTTCTCGGACCACCCTCTTGATGAGGTAGTTGCCCAGCTCCACCCCTTGTAGGCCAGCCTGGGTTGAGGAGATAGAGTAGAAGATGGCTGCATTTATCTTATTCACATCCTCCTCAGTGTCAAGAGTGGAGAACTCACGGACGATACTCTAGGAGAAAAACACAAATTCAGTCACAATGACAAATGCTGCATTACTCATCCAGATACAAGCCCATTCTCAGTGTTCTTAGCTAGACAGCTGCAGCTACGGCCGAAGTCTCTTACAACTTCTTCAGAGTTGCTGGACCAAAACTGCACTATTTCACAACAAGGAATATTCCCAAATTGCAGTATTGTCAAAACCACCTTCCCCTCACTGTAAATGGCAAGAAAAAGAAGTCAGCACTTTAGAGGATGCTCCCAGAAGGATATGAAGTTTAAAGGTCTCAGTGTTGTTTTTCACACAGTAATAATCCATTTGTCAGCAGAGAGGAGGAACAAAATAGTAAATCCCAGATGTTTAACTATCCTCCAAGGTGTGTGTAAAGTGAGACAAACCGTTACAACAGCATGCAGCTATGGCTTCTAACCTGAATGTTGTCAGAGATGTCTTCAGTGAGAGCCACATGTAGTACAACCAGGGGTTCTCCTGGCATAGCAGCATGGGTGAAGGCATAACATCTGCGGTATGGCCCCACTCTGCGCTTCAGGTCAGTCCAGTTCCTTACAGGGTGCACTGCCTCATACCTGGCATGAAGGGCTGATGGTTAGTCTTTCAGTTTACAATTAAGCGTATGCTAAGCTCCCCCCTCCTTAGTTATTGCTATGCCAGTTAAGGGCTGTGGTCGAACAGTCTATTTTGCTTAGAAAGGTTCCTAACTCGAGTGAAATTTAGGGCTGACACGTTCTGGTAGGTTGGTAGTTTCTTGGTCCTTTATGTTTGAGTCGGCATCTGTGCCTGCCTGTCAGAGGTTCTGTCTGACTTTTTAAAGTTTTACATTTTTAAGTATACATTTTATCAATTCTAAGTAGTTGTAGACTGTGTTTTCTTTCTCAGAGAGCATACTCCCATTCTAGCCTCTCTACACTGGCTTCCTGTGAAATATAGAATAGAATTTAAAATTGTTCTGCTTACAAAGCCTTAAATGGCTAGGCACCATTTTACTTCAAAGAGCTCATTATACCTTATAGCCCCACTAGAGCACTGCACTCTCAAAATGCAGGGTTGCTTGTGGTGCCTAATGTCTCTAAGGTTAGAGTGGGAGCCAGAGAGTTAATTATCAAGTGCCTCTATTATTGAACCAGGTCCCAATTTGTGTTTAGGAATCAGATAACATCACCACTACACTTAAGCCTTTCTGTTTAATAAAGCTTTTAGTCTGATTAAGCCATGCAGTTATAAATCGCTTTTATTATCTTATTTTGTAGATTTTATTATGTGCCTTCTGTATTTTAAGGTGTTTTTTCTCATGCTCCTTCTGTATTTTATTCCATTGTATTTTGTAAGGTGTAATGGGAACATGTCTTTTGGTGATTTTGCACTTTAAATAAAACTTGATTAATTGATTGAATAGACTATAAGACAACCCAGTTTTTACAACTTTAAACTTGCCCAACCTACCAAAGACTGCTAGGTCTAACTTACTGAACATTTACTCGGCTTCAAACTAATTGACACCACGTCAGAGAACCAGAACAAATCGCTGCGTCAGCCCCCAGCCTCAGAGGACAGAAGAGCTGAGTGGATAATGGTTATTTTTAATGGAAACATGTTGTGTGCATTTTATCATGGACTGCCAGTAAAGGTTTAAGCTCAAGTAATGGAACAGTACTGGCTGGCTGTGACCAGACTTAAAAGCTTTGCCATGTTTTATGTTGTTTTACTGCTTATTTTGTAAGTTAGCCAGTTGAACTTGGCTTTAGCATGTTGTGTGGCTAATGTGGCTCCTCCCACAGTGACACGATCCAAAACTTAAGAAAATACTCGCATGATTGGCTTACCTCCAAGTCTATAAATCTAGATTTTTCCTCTTTCAGATCTATTCATTTAGGAGTAATCTTGAAGAAGAAGCACATTTTATTATAATAGTTAACAATATCATCATCATAAGTATTTATGAATACTAGGCCTGTATACATAAATGTCATTTCAGTGCATGTGCTTGTCTATAAACTCACAACATGTAGTAAGATAGCTAGTGACTCACCCTGTGAAGTGACTATGTGTATTAGGTATATGTTACTCCCGCAGTAAGCAAGCTGGACATGCTTAAGTTTACAGCTGACGTTAAAGCAGATAAACACACTGTTCCAATCCATTATTACACTGTTGTTTTGGGGTTTTAGGAAAGGTTCAATAAAAACTCTTTGATGCTGAGTATCACTCTAACTAGACCCCATGCACGCTGTATTGGCATGTGGAGAAATCCAAAGCTTGACAGGCCTGTCGTGCCAAGTTACAATTGCTATGGTATGAATGGACGATCCCTGCTCAGGGGACGGGTTTAGCAATGGTAAATTTTTGCACAATGAAGAGAAAAAACAAAAACAAAGACAGTGTGAGGGAGCCTGAATGCACTTACTGGCTGATCTTCTGCAGGATCTCGCAAGGGGACTGCCAGGTGATTCTCTCCAGTCGGAGCAGACCTACAGAGAACCACTCAGACAGCAAGCTCTTTAGCGTCCCGTTCAGGTCCTGGAAGAAAAAAAAAAAGAGAGAGTTCAGAGTGAACATCCACATCCACCTGATAATAGAAAATGCACCACATTCTATCCCTTGTTGAGAACAGCTCGGCAGCTGGTCTGTCAGGAAAATGAAAGCAGAATATTGCAATTGTATTTCACAATAGTGCAGGGACTATATATTGTACAAATAAAATACTGGTGTGCAGGTAAATGTTATATGCACACTATGAATGAGAAAAAGGTCATGGTAACCATTATATTAATTTATCTACGCGCTGTAAGGATTGTCCTTTTACAGTAGCTTTGGAAGATTTTTTGGCACTCTTTTATATCTTATATAAAGAAGAAACACCGTATTCTCTAGAAATTGCAGCTTTTATATGACTATTAAAGAACACGATAAACGAACAGTCTTCTCCTGACCTCTTTTATAGCGAGAACTCACAAGCTTTATCTTACTGACTGACAGTGAAGTTGCTTAAGTTTGGAGGCTATAAACAATTCAACACCGGTATCTTACACACTGTGCAGGTTGTACGGTTCCCTGGGAGTCTGTATGCTGTTTGAATGTTTTCACATTATGAGTAGTGATTTGTTTGAGCTTGCAAAGGCAGCGGAGGCACTTCAATAAACAACTTGCCATTTCAAAGCAGGCCTGTCCTTCGGCAAAGGTCAGACTTCATTTAAAGCAAATCTTGAACACACAAACGCACGAACACGGTACATGCACGCACTCAAACACATAAATACAGCTTATATTGGCTGTTCCATAGGATGACTTTACTTCAGGCTAACTTTAATACCGGCTTGTCAGTCATAATAACAGCTAATATAAACAAGCTTAAATACAGGCATGGTACAAAAGCCACTGGCTGAGATCCTCTGCGAACAATTATCAAAACTGAAACCAACAAATTTTGAAATTCTACCCCACATGTATGCATCAGGCCCTGCATTATTCAGCTCTGTGGTTGAGAGGTTTCACACTGGAAAATTCTTTTGAGTGAGGAGCAAATCAAAAGTAACCGTCAAAAAAAAAAAAGAATAGAAAAAAAGTTTGGCAAAACTTCCATCACTACTTATGTGATGATGGCGTATGTGTATGTGTGTGTGTGTATGTGTGTATGTGTGTGTGTACAGTACGTGTATTTGTGTTCCTTTAACTTGGTGCCGGAGGTGAAATAATCTATATGATGGCTGATAATCCCAGCCCGGCATTTCTGTGGAAAACGCAGCACATCAATAACCCATGAGAGTGCAGCCGCTGCCTTGGGTAGCCAATTTTCACCCACACAAAGGGAGGCCAAACTGAGATGTGTATTCCATTGACCTAGCAGAAGATGAAGTCTTTTGAAATGGAAGGGTCTAGCATTCGGAGCCTAAGGTTAGGAGAGAGATGGGGGGGGGGAGAAAATCCTGCACTCCCATTAGAAAGAAAATGAAGCAACGCTTTTTGACACAGGAGCTGTATCAGTGCAGTGTGGTGCTGATGTTTTCAGCTGATACAGCCTCTGCTACCTGGAGCTGCAGTTTTATTGTGATTATACAGAGCAATGTCTGGAAGGAACACTCTTTCTATCCGAGGCCAAATGACCATGGACTGCCGGAGTGTTTACAGGTCAAACTCAGCACAGCGTGTGCCAATACCTTTATTCCAGTAGGCTGCATGCCACATGTCAGCCTGGCAGTCTCTGTGCGGGGAAAAAATAGCACTCACTGATACTTTGTGAAATCCCAAGGAGTCAACTAGAATGATGTCTCTGACTTGTCTTTCTATCTTTCATCCACTCAGCTTGTGGACAGTTGAATAAGAATAAAAAGCCTGGAGGTGGAAGGAGTGAGGAGAAACATCAAAAATCAATTATCCAACCAGGAGCGACTAATCTAGTGTAGAATTCAAAGTGACACTTGCGAGAACCACAGTAATTGCAGCCTTGTGAATTCCAAACTTGCATTACTTTAGTAATTTTAGAAATTGTGTCATTTTCTATCTCTGTTTCACTGCCGCTTTGATCATCAGCATAATGTTTTTGATTGCAAGTTTTTTTTTCATTGCCCTGGTATGCACACACTATCAATACATGTACTAAAAGCTTCATATTTCCCACGACCTTTTCTCATTTTTAGCTCAAATCAATTCTGGTAATAACGACAAGAAAAGATTGCTGTGCACCAAGACCCCGGTGGTCAGCACTAAGTACAAGTGAGTCCACTGTAGGTAGCGTAGACCTTTTTAAGCTACAAAAGGTCTCAGTGGGCCTTGGTTATTGAGATTAAATGCATCTGAACTACTTCTCGGCAGGAACAAAATGGATATTGAGCAGTAGAGAAGAGGCTGGAAGTCCTCTGGTGAGAGTGCGGTCAGGGTCTTTGAAAATCATATTAAGTTCAATTCCAAAGCAAAACAAAACAGAAAAGCAGATCATAAAAATGATAGAAACCCTGAAAGCTTCTGTAAAGCCACTGGTCGATTTATAAATGCAACTTCGTGTCAACTCAGTAGGACTCCAACTTGCAGCCAACATAAAGAATACATGCCAGATGGACGGTTAAGTAACACAAACCTTACTTCAGCTCTATAACCTTTGTCAAGCTAAATAATCCATTGATCACAAAAATAGAATATGTACCACTTTCATCTTGTGGACAACTAAAACCCTGCAGGTTGAATTTTGTTTTCCTCACTGAGGAGCATACCTTTTACTGCTTTGCTCTACTGGAGGCAGGCTCCAAATCCACCAATCAAATTAGAGCTGAAACATTGAGTCAATAAGTAGATGAACTTGATCAACATCTTGAGGTGGAAAAAAAACAAAACAATTAGATGTTGTAACTCTGGGCTTTAGGCATTTCTTCCTACATTCTTACATTTTACTGACCCAACAATTAATCAGTTAATGAAGAAAATATTTGGCAGTCGATAATGTAATAAAATAATTAGTTTCAGCCAAAAATAAAACACTAGGTATCACAAAATTTAAGTTGTTCTTTTGTAGCTCAACCACTGCAGAACAAAATATATACAATCCTTCAGACCTGGTTAAAAAAGGACTATTTATTTACACAATGGTTTAGTTTAGGTGATGAATGTATTTGAATATGAAACCTTTGGTGCACTTTGATCATAAGCTACAATCTTAATGCATGTTAGGAAAAGAATTAGCCTATCAAATCATTATAACTTTGCACTGTATGACTTAGCGCATTTGTAAATCAAACAAACTTAATTCATCGTTCATCACAACCTCTATCAAGCTGCTGAACTCCGATACTAAATCTTAGTACAAGAGAGCAAAGTGCAATAAATACACCAGCACTTTTACATCTAGCACTTAAATTACAGTCCCTTTTTAAGAAGTCATATTGACCGTACAGTTAAATATGTCTCTCATGTCTTAAGATATCTTACGCTGGTTTTAAGCAGATCTTAGGTTGAATTTGAGGTTGATCTTATGATGGTTTCTTTAGTACACGTTTGTGTTATGAAACAACAGATTTGTGGCACTGCGCCCAAGCCCAATTTCCCCTCGGGAACAATAATGTCTATTAATATAAAAACATCCATGGTACATTGTGGCCTTAGAAACTTGTTGGAAGGAAAAAGCAGTGCAGGTGTCAAACATACTAAGTGCATGGCATTAACATGAGAGCAAACTTGCTATCTGAAATATATTCCACTCTCATTCCAAGGTGTGCGTGGAAACTCCTACACTACAGTTCTGAACTGAAGTGAAAACCGTAATTATATTTGACTGAACAATGAGATAAATGAGACTGGAAAGGTTAAATTTTCTGAAAAATAAGTTGCCAAAAATGAGCCATTAAGGGGCCAAAGAGCATGAGCCATGTCTTTGTGATGGAATATTCCCTCCTCCCTCCTTTAACTGCCTTTTCTTTCAATTTTATTTTCACTTTGTCTTCAAAAAAATGCATTCAAAATATCCATGACATGCCTGATTTATATTCTGCTCTTTCACATTGTTGCTGCAGGGAAGGTATAGTAGCCTCTTTATGTATAGAATAAAACATTGTTACAGGCTCTATTTCAACTGAAAAGAGTTCCAGCAACAGTGGATGGCAGCTGATCAGTATAGCTGATCTGTCTAACCAAGACAAGCACTAAATATGAAAGAAGCCCTGGAATTGAGATTGACAATGTCTTGTGCTGAACAAGCACTGTCTACCTATCTGCAAAAAAATGCTGTGAGGAAATTAAAAAATCCAAATTTAGTTTGTCCAGTTTGGTAGGGCAGATGAACTGGGGCAAAGGTAATTGCTGCTCGAGCTGTGATGAAATATAAACCGTGTGTTGGGGGGGGGGGGGGGGGGTGCAGTTTGTGGGTGTAGGTGTGGGGGTTAGTTGTATAATGTTAAACAGCTGTACTCAGCCTGCTGATGCTGTTAAAATATACCACATATGCACATCAACATTCCAAAAAGAACGCGAACGGCACTGCTTGACTCATGCGAGCACCCGTAGAAGTTGTAAACAAATGCTTTACCCTGATGTGCGGACTCTCGCTAGCTTTGGAGGAGATTATTTCAAGCACGTCGGCTCGGAGATCCACCAGAAACTTCACTCCCCCCTCGACCCTGCTTATATGATAAAGCAACTGTTTATATCGGGGAGTCAGGCTGTACCGCAGCCTGTCTTCTACTTGCAAAATGGTAGCCAAGTCCCGTAGCTGAGTGTCCAGCAGCTTCACGGCGAGCTCTGAAACGCCTTTGTGGTCTACCCCGAAGTCCTGTGCCAGCCTCGTCAGGAAGCCGAGTTTGTCGTCCTTGTCGAGGCTGCCGTAGAAGTGCATGAACTCCAAGCTGTTTGATTCGGGAGGAGGAGGGGATTTGTCTCTTGTTTCGTATGTGGGTAAAGGTGCAACCACCCTCGCCAGTATCGCCTCCATGCCTGTGACACCGTCACGAATTGGGCTCGAGTACCAGCGCCAAACGCTGACGTCCGGGGGCCCCAGAGCCGCTTTGAGTACAGCCCGGTGTCGCCAGCACCTCACACTGCTACGAAAAGCCCAGATAGCAGGGTGGGATATCATCGCTGGGAGGGAGCTCGGGTGCCTGTTTTGGGACCAGCGACCAGCAGTGACACACAGGATAGAACCGTTTCCGGGTCTCTTAAAGAGACAGTACAGCTGTCATGGCATCAAGTCATAAACAGTCTATGGTCAGAAGGTTAGACAGCAGGGTCATGGCAAGTCTGTATTATAAAGATAAAAGATATATAAAAGCTCCCTTACAGTGTGGCTAATTTAGGGGTAACCCCCCCCCCCCCCCCCAAATAAAACCACAATGTACAACAGCTATTATCCTAAGGCTATCTACTAGTAGTGAAGAGATTGTCCCCCCTATTAGATTATTTATCTATCTTTATAGCCAATACAGGCATGGCTTTTATCCATGTAACAAATTCATAAGGAAATATAAAGATGCTTGTCTTTTGTGTCAGGTCTGAAATATAATCAATATTACACCTCTTTAAACTGCTACTACTTCAAACATTTTGGTCAGTTGTTTCTTTGTTAATATTGTCTGTCTTAAACAAATTTATGTATTTTTCTCAATGCATGGCTGCACATGACTGTAGAAACTTTTGTTTGCTAGGAAAATATATTTAGAAATCAGTAGGCTGAGTGTTTATTTTGACTGATTGATTTAACTTCTTTAGTAATTATTAATATAAAAGTGGCATCTGTAGCCAGAGATGCCCCAAATACAAAAACCATCAAAAGGACACAAACACAATAAAGCCCCAATGCTTATTTCCATTGTGGTCCATTTTTAAATCTGATGTTATCTGCCCATGTATTAATTGTTTATGTTGTCATTTGGATGTGTTTTATTTTTGGTTTAATTCCACCACAAAAAACAACAACAATGTTGAATCACAAAATTATGTAAACAACAATACACTACCATATCCTCTTCAATGACGGCCAAGTCTTTGACCCACAATGTGCTGTATATTGCTAGCTATTAAAAATGTAATTTTATCCATATTGGAAGCTTTCTGTGTAAGCTTCCAGGTCAAATCATTGCCTTGTGTGGTTCAACAATAGTCAAGCAGCACAGTAAGAGGTCATTTTACAGGATCAGGAGCATCTTGCAGTGCAAACACTTTTTATTTTTCCATGTCTTAAACAATCCACAGATCATAATCTCTTTTAGACTTTTTTGGAAGTAGATATCAATCTGTCCAAGTCCTTGCTATTCATATACTTTAAAAAAATATATATTTACTGAAATTGTTTTTTTAAATTTTAAATAATTTTCTATTTAAGAACTAAAGAAAGTTCTGTTTGGCCAACATCTGTCATGAATATTATCTTCTGTTTTGGTATGTAGCTCACAGTATACTCTCATCATCTACAGCCACTGTAAAATTCTTCTGTATTTTATTTTTAGATGCGTCTTTTTCCTGCCTGTCAGGCATTGTAGAGAAAAACTGTACTGACAACCTTCTGCAGTCCTCCCCATATTGCTTCAATTTACATCACTTTTCCAATAAGTCAGAGCTTCCTCCTCTGTTGGAATTAGTCATCCGAGGTAAAAACATGAGGCGTCTGGGGTGTTTGACAATGTTTGATCAGCCTTCCCACAGACTGATATATAAAAACTTTGATTATAATTAGTATGGGTCACTTAACAGCAGTATAAAGATGTAAAAACAATGATCATTTATGCTCTTTTTATATTTCCATTTAAAAATGTTTTGTCAAGGAAAGTCTTTTTAATCAATAAATCATTCAAATGATGGAATATCTCTTACTATTTCCCTATAGATGAGGTCATAGTGAAAAAAATAACCAAAAGTAAAATAATTCGCTCTTTTCAATAAGGAAATTTGTAATAGTCTTACTGCTGATTTAGGGGGTTTCCACTCTAATACTGAATTTAGTTGTGATAAGAATAAAATGTGGCCTATAATTTTGTATTTAAATTCTAAAATAATAATAATGCTTATTAAAAGCTTTAGTATAACAATTTTCTTAATATTGTCAGAAATCCAGTTTGGCCTATACTGCAGTATTCGTCCTCTGCTTAGAAGAAGTGGGACTGATGAAGATAAATCCTTGCCTCAAATAGAGGCCGTGAAGACAAAAAAGACTATAGAGTTCTCTGAACAAAGAAAGTGAGAACAAATACTGTTGCCATGAAGAAGGGGTGTCATAATGCTAATCAAATAACTGGAGGTAAATAAACTTGTGTCAACAGCCAAACTGAGGTCAAAGGGGTCCTTGAGACTGAGTGACTGTGACAATGTTTTAGTCCATTATTTACTACCGGTCTAATCTTCTCTACTTCTCTTGATACATTTTACTTTCAAAACAATAGCTCTGTAGATGCAAGGCAAAACCAGTGACGACACAGGTTTTGCCAGTCAATGACAAGACACATCATCTGTTCAAGTTACATAAAAATGAAATTGATTGAAATAACTTTTAAAATTTGACATATTAACCTGTCCCACTCTTACCACATTATTGCCACACCAATCCATATTATAGGCATCATCCTTTCGAGTTTTGTCAGATCCGTGATGTCACAGAGATGTTAAGTGTTTTGGAGACTCCAACCAGTCGTCTCTGTGACACCTAAACCCAAGCCCTGACATGTAGTCTTATGTTTTATGCATAGACTGTATATAAAAAGGTTTCATGCCTAACCCCAAGGGGAAACGGACGTCAAATACAAGGACAGGTTACAGAATCAGACGGGTCACAGAACACGACGCAACACCACTCAAGCTGGCAACTCTGGGAAGTTCCTCAGCCAATCAGAGTTCAGCTGGAATTGACGCCTGGTCAGCTCAATGCTAGCGCAACCCGGGCGCGTCCATCAAGTAAATTAAACCGCCTAAAACGTTTGTGTTTGTTCAAGGAATATAATCCAGTCTCACAAGTGGTCAGTGAGTCTTATACTATTACATATTTTCACTCGCTAGCCATGTTTTTTTTAACTTGATACGCCAACGGGGCTATATATTTGCTTAATTAGCTAACTAACCGTTTTGCTCTGGTGGCGTTAGCTAAAGTTAGCTAGCTAATTGGCTAACTTAGAAACTTAGCCAAAGTTCTTGTGTTTTTTTTGTATTGTGAACCCGGGTTTTTTTCCCAATCCGTTAATGAAAATGTTTTTTTGCCAACCATTTATTGTTCACTTTGCTCCACAGAGGTGCGTGTGAGATATGGGACGAGAGAAGGATGTTAAAGGAGAAGGGAAGCCCAAGCACAAAGCAAGGAAGCTGAAAACGCTGAGTGATTATGAAAGCGCTGCTGCAGGGGGAGATGCGACCAAGAATAGGTGAGGTGTGTGTGTGTGTGTGTGTGTGTGTGTGTGTGTGTGTGTGTGTGTGTGTGTGTGTGTGTGTGTGTGTGTGTGTGAGAGAGAGAGAGAGACAGATGATGTAGCACTTAGTAATTATTCCATCGAGAGCAAGTCAAGTGCCACTACCATTATCAAGTAAGGTGATTCATGTACGGCTCCCTGTCATAATTTCCAAGTTGGAGCATCTACCTATTAGGTTATATATGCATGTGACCTGACTGCAGCACATGATCCAACATCTGTTCAGCATCACTGCAGGCCACACATCAAAGTTGCTATTTGCATGGATCCCGCATGTAGCATTGCCTTTCATGCTGTTCAAATGCGAAGACAAATTCCTTTTGATAAAAAATTTATACTTGCAATGGTGATAAACCGGATGAGAGTGAGAGCCATATGGCAGTATGTGTGTGCTCCTAAAGAACAGACAACAAGGCGCTACTGAGAGACTGCCACGCTGGCTGAACTGTCCAGCAGGCTGGTGGTATTGAGTGCGTGCATTCATTTGAGTGACTACAGTGGGTACTCCATCTTCATATGAATAAATTAATTTACCTTGATTTCTGATGCGTTTATTACCATGCATATGTGAGCAGACAAATAAATGTGGAGTGATCTGTCATTGGCTTGTGTAACTGATGAGAGCAGGGAGATGAATAGACACCTGTAAGCGCCACTGGCAGTAGAGCAGGCAGCTTTCTGTGACAGCTAGCCTCCTGTTATTTCATGGCACACTGACTGAATTACTGATTAAGGATCAACTTATCCTCATCGGCTATAAGGCTCACCGAACACATTCCTGTGAGCATGAAACCCCCCCCTTTAAATGTTGTACTGTCTTAGTCTGATGTTCAAACCTGGGAATTCTGAATAAAAAAAGAACAGAGCTGAGGGATAATTGCAGCTCAATGTCATGTTAAATCCATGGGTGGAAAGGTCAAACTGAAAATAAACCTGTTCAGAGCTGTAAGGGGATCCTCTGAGACATTGCTTGTGTGATTGGTGGCATTTTATAGTGTTGCCTAACTACAATGATACTAACCAGGTAAAGACATGAATCTAGCATCAGCCATGCACTTGATAAAAGTGCAGCTCAAACTGTCAGTCATGTCACTGTAAAAGGGGAAGCAGCGTTCTCCTCGCAGTTCTACAATATTTCTCCAACTGCTCACGTGTTACAAATTTTGCATCGCTGACGAGCCTTTTCTTTTCTTCTCATCCCTGTCCCATGTTGACATCCTGATGAGCAGTGCAAAGACAACTAAATCTACAGAGAAAACTGATATTGGAAAGTCTCATAAGAAGGTAAATCACTTATTTTCTTCTCTTCCCCTGTGCTTCATGTGGTCAGATGTGGCTTGACCAGATGTCCTGTGTAGTCCCCAATATCTCAATGGAAATTTGGTGTCATCTTGACCAGGGGAGGGATTGTGTTTGCTATTTGAGTCCATCTATAACTCTTGCCCTATCTGGAATTAGCACATGAAATACCAGGGTGAAAATTCCTGCCCCCGTTACCCACTCACTCCACCTCCAGACTGTCATAGCTACAGTATGTGCAACAGCTTGTCCTAGTAGGTTACATTTATTGTATTTATACCCCATAACATTGGCAGGGTTTGTTAATATGCCTACCCATAGCCAGACCAATGGGAGAAATTCTCTTACTGCTGTGTTTACTTGCCCCAATACACTGAAAAACTGTGTAGCAATTTAAATATGTTCACAAGATCATGCTCTCAGCTCCTAACTAAAAGCCTCAGGTCAAGGACATGTTTACTTGAGTCAAATTATGATATGCAACAGTTGTTCCCTCCAGGAGTCCTGCGAGATATGACATTACCACGTGTTAGGTCTGAATGATTTTGAAAATAATATCTAATTGCAGTTAGTTTGACTGATATTGCAATTGCGATATGATTTGCGATATGAGAGGGAATGATCATTTTAATAGTTTATTCACATTTTCATTGACAACAATTCTTAAATGATTATGGTGTGATTTGTTTTTGCAAGGAGCTGTAGTGTTTCCCACATAATGACAGACAACTAGTAGCTCATTTCTTATTTCACTATTTCAATTATACTTCATTCTCCACCTTATTATAGTGTTACTCACTAATTTAATCGGCTCCCTTTCCCTTCAGTTCTCTTTTCCCCACACGCTCACACATCTGCTGGAAACACAGCAGCGTGCCCCTCCTCTTTCTGTCTCTTTCACTGTATGTGTCGGCTCTGTTGACTTTCTCCATCAGCAGTAGGCTATACTTTTTGAAGCAGCAGGTGCGCCGCATGTGGAGGAGGCTTGTTAACGACGTAGCCTATGAAAATGAAACTAATGTGGTAGCAAGCGAATGACATCTGCACTGGTATGTTCACTATCGCTGTACTTGGTCCTGCTTGTAAAATGTCCACCTTGTCTACTTCTTGTAACGTAATAGATAACGTAATAGACAACACTCTGTGTTTTTAGCAAAATGCTAAAATTAGTCACCACATATACTTTGGTGGCCAAAGTCTAAGTAAGGAAGCCAAAGTAGTCTGTGTGGGAAACACTGATCTGTACCAAACAAAGATGGTTTCTTAAGTCTGTAGAGTGTTGGCCAGGACTTCTCTGCATGACGAAACACATTTTACACATCTTGCCTTTTAACAAATATTGCACCTCCTGCGATTTAAAAATTCCTGTAGGCCATATTGCATATTGTTTTTAATTAATTGCTCAGCCATACCATGTATGTTTGTTTGTATGTTAATGTTGAATACTTAATGCATACTACATTTGCCTGTGTTGAACTTAATGCATTTCCTCTTCAGGTCAAGACACTTAAAACGGAGATCCTGGAGTCAGACAGCAGTCCCAGGTAGGGATGATGTCCTATTACCAGTACACTGTATCTTTATTAAAGGCCGTGATGATAAGGATGATCCGAATGTTCGGCTACTGAAATTCATCGGCAAAAAATGGCAAAAAAAGCCTAGTAAGTCAAAAGACCGAACAAATTTTACTGAACAATTACATTGACATGTTGGCAGTGTGGAAGCATTTTTAAGTATCCGAGAAAGATGGAAAAATCACCGGACACTGTTCTGCTGAATCGTCTTCTAGCACATCCACTCCGTCTGTGGCTGACTTCTTAGAAAAGGCAACAAACCATATGACCTGCTTTGACTGTTTCTGTCACTTGTTTGTGAGGAGACGAGACACACCTAAATTCAGAGTGCACACATATTCAAGCCTTTATGGTAAATAAGCTGACAGGCAGGTTAGCGACTTTATCCTGTCATTTTCTCTCTTTACAAAGACACGTGTTGCAGTATGAGAGTCCTACCTGAAGAGAGGCTATGAAGTCTTCATTTTACGATACGAGAACCACATACGACATTATATATCAAATTGGGTCGGATTTGATGAATTTAGTGTGATGATACACATGTGACAACGTCCGGTTTTCAAAATAAGGTGTCTATACAGTATGGAAATGAGATTAATTGGATTATATTCACAGAAAGTATAAAACATATTACATGTGTCCATTAAAAGTAAATGGACATGTAATTTACTTTTAGTCTCTCCAAATACTGTGGGAAACTCTGAGTAAAAAGAATAAAAAGCACATTTTGACTATTTAATTTATGCATTGGTAAAAAATGGCCAAAATGTGAATGTTCGGCTTCGGCCAAGAATTTTCATTTCGGTGCATCCCTACGTGATAATAAGCTGACATGCTACTATTGAGCGATTGTGTCAGGAAATCTTATTTTTCTCTTTCTTTTTTTCTTCTTCCCTCCTCCTTCCTTTTGGTGTTCAGTGGCCGTGGAACTAAGCCATTCCCATTTTATACATTGTGTTAATCAGTCTCACAGAAAATTAATTTTACTCTGCACTGAAGACAAATATCTGTGACCTGTCAGGAAAGTAGTAGATGAGAAGTCATGCTTTGAGTAGCTTGATGCTCAGCAGGGACATTGCCTGGGCTGGCAGACTTTGGCTGAAGGCCTGCTGTGACGAATCTGTCTCGCAGCAGCGTCTCCACACAGTGGTTAATGGATTGTTTCGCCAACTGAACTTACCAATATGTTGAGTGACATTTCAAAGGAGATGCCAGTTGGAAAAACTAAATAAATTCTGGCTTTTAATATTTCTCTTAAAGGTTTTTTTCCTCCAGAAAGTCTGAGGTGGTAACTGTACTAGTTGAGTGGGTTTCATGCAGGGAGGAAAGTTAAGGCCTTGTAGCAGAGTTAGGGAAGAAACATAAGGCTATTAGAACCACTGACCGTAAATGTCAATGGATGCAGTGACCCACCCTCCTTTTGTATAGCTTTTTATGGATTTTTCTCACCGGGGGAGTTTACCAAAAAAAAAAACATGACCATTTCTACCATATGTTTTTTCCCACCACATTGAACAGTTGAACTGAACAGCTTGGCCACAGCACACACTTGGGTTTCCAAAGTAAACTAAAGAGAAAGCAGGGAGAATGTTAGACAAAGGCTTCTCCTATATGTCTAATTTGCAGTGAATTTAAGTAGGTTGCCTATTGCAGTGGTTAAGAGCATTTTGTGGGTCAGTATGAATGTGATTGTGAACCATTGTGACACCTACAGGCCAGCAGTGGGGTTTCTGCATTTTCTTTTCACATTTAAAAATCCCTTTGTCGCTAATGGGAGGTGATGCACCAAGCCTTAAACAAAGGGAATCAGTTGGAACTAATTTAGTCTCTGTGGCTTTTTTTTGGCCTATACTTTCCCGTACATTGTAGGTTTTTTGTCAACTTGATATCTTTAATGAAGAATATCGTAAGTTTGATTAAGTACTGCAGTCTCTGATTATGTTGTCATGCGCTTGTGAGCAATGCAACTTCTGTGAGAAGTAGCTGGAAGAAAACAAGTACTGTATACAAAATAATAGTGCATTAATTAAACAACATTATGTTTTGATTAAAGAAACTGTGGTGCATAAAGGTCAGTGTTGAAATGAAAAGGTGGCCCCAACAGTCACCTTGTTTTGTTTTCTACTAACATACAGTACATTACATAACATACAGATTCTGTTGGGCCCCATTTGATCTCTGTTTTCAACAGCTCCCTATCTACTGGTTGTGTCCCTGATTATTTTAAAACGGCTTGCGTGAACCCACTTTTAAAGAAACCTGGTTTAGATCCCTCCCTCCCACATAATTTTAGACCAATTTCAAAACTGCCTTTTATTGCAAAGATTCTAGAAAGAATTGTGTCCAAACAGCTGCTCACTGTACTGGAAAATAACAAATTATTTGAAAAGTTTCAGTCTGGTTTTAGGAAGTACCACAGCACTGAGACTGCCTTGCTTAAAGTCACCAATGACCTTTTAATGTCTGCTGATGAAGGTATGTGCTCAGTCCTTGTACTCCTGGACCTTAGCGCTGCTTTTGACACCATTGATCACAACATCATGTTAGACAGACTGAGGCACTGGGTGGGGATCTCTGGTACTGCCCTAGAATGGTTTTCATCCTACCTGTCAAATAGGAAGTTTTGCGTGTCTGTAAACAACTATGTCTCCTCATTCTGTCCAGTTAAATATGGTGTGCCTCAGGAGTCGGTCTTAGGACCCATTTTGTTTTCCTTGTATCTGCTTCCCCTTGGACATATTATCCATAAACATGGCATTTCTTTTCATATTTATGCTGATGACACACAAATATAATGCCCGTCAGATCCACAGACCCTGGAATGCTGAGTTCACTTAACAACTGCCTTTGTGAAGTTAAAAAATGGATGTCAAATCCAGCTGAACTCAGACAAAACAGAAATCCTGGTCATCGGGTCTCAGCAGATGGCAGTACAAATACTGCCATCTGCTGGTTCCCTAGTAAATCACATTAAGCCTGTTGCAAAGAACCTTGGTGTTTGGTTTGATAGTAATTTAAATTTCGAGCAGCACACCACAAAGCTTGTTCAATCATGTTTTTATCAACTTAGAAATATAGCAAAAATTCGATCTATGTTAACTTTTAAGGACACCGAGACCATTTTACACGCCTTCGTCTCATCACGCCTGGATTATTGCAACAGCCTTTTCACCTGTTTAACCCAAAAATCTATTGATCGACTCCAGACTGTCCAGAACTCAGCTGCCAGGCTTTTAACCAGAACAAAGAAATATGACCACATTACTCCTATTTTAGCTTCATTACACTGGCTCCCAGTATGTTTTAGAATTGACTTTAAAATTCTATTGATCACTTTTAAAACTCTTCATGGCCTCTCGCCTTGTTATATTTCCGAACTTTTAGTCCCATACACACCAGCACGTACCTTGAGATCCTCGGGCAGAGGTCTGTTGTCTGTTCCAGAGTCTCGACTGAAAACTAAAGGGGACAGAGCGTTTGCTGTCAGGGCCCCGAGGCTCTGGAACAGCCTGCCCGAGGAAATCAGGTCGGCTGAGTCAGTGAACTCTGTGAAGTCCCTTCTTAAAACATACTTTTATAGGAGAGCCTTTCCCGATCTTATTTGACTTTATTTTATCCCTTTTATTTTATTGTATTTTACTAATTTTATATAAATTTTTCATGCTCTTATCTTGTTTTTTTTTTTGTATTATTCTTTACACTTGTTAAAGCACTTTGTAACTTGTTTTTGAAAAGTGCTCTACAAATAAGGATTATTATTATTATTACATAATGATCTGCACTGCAAGAGTGATCCTGTCATTATGTTGAAATAGGCCTTTTTCTCAGCAGACATTTTGACTTATCATAAAAAAGCACACATGTTACTAATAATATTAACAATGTAGCAGTTAGCCGTTACAGTGAGCCAGCATATACAATGCCAGCACTCTGAAACTAAAGCAGCTAAATGGAAAGCAGCTGTCATTAATTTCATTACTTCTACCTGTGCTTTTCCAACTGTGACCTTTGGCAATGAAACTGTTTTTTAAAGTGTATAAAAATAGTCTTATTGTATTTTAATCCTATTTTCTTACAGTAAGCTGTTTCCTTTGTTTGATCTTTTGAAGTCCAAAATGTATTTTCTCTAGAGGTAAATCAAAGGTCCCATATCATCTTTGTTTTGCGTCTGAACTTGAACATGTACAGTATTCACTGCTCAAAGCTCATTACTCTCAATCAGAAGCCATCGGAGGTCATACTGTGGAAGTGAAGAGAGAGTGCATTAGGCCCACACAATGTGTACCAGGTAGCTGCCGCCGTAGTGGCTTGTAATTGTGACTCCGTAAGCCAGTTTGACAATTATGTGCTACAGTTTTTCCCATTTCCGTCTTAGCTTAGTGAATGAAAGGAGAACACTGTTATTTATTAGCAGTGGTGACTAATTTGTTGTTTTTTTAGTTTGGGCCATTTCCCTGCCCACCAGTTCCTCACTCTGCAGGGAAATCCTGCAGTCTGTGATTATTATTTTTTGCAGTTGCTGTAATTATATCATTGGCTATTACTGTTTCTATAATGTTGCTTAATTACCGTCATTATATGTGATTTCTTATGGTCAGTGTGTCATCATTGGATTTCTCTCTCTCTCTCTCTCGCTCTCTCTATTCCGCATGGAGGGTAATTTTGTCCTAACTGTGCAGCCAGCAGTGGGGCAGACAGCAGTGAAAAAGAGCCATTAAGCTTTTATTCTGCCTTGTTATTAGCTTGTTAAGTAGGGGCTAATTCAAAGTCAACAGCTCAAGTGAGCTCTTGTAGGACAAAATTAAGAAAAAAACAGAGCAGTTAATAAGATCTTAGAAAGTTTGTTTGTTAAATTGACATGAAAAACAGTGCTGGAGTTTTAAGAGCAGTGAATGTTATTTTACCATGAGCTCAACTTCAAAGCTGCAGTCTACCAAGTGCCTTTGTGTGTTTAGACATAAAAAGAAGTGTTACTGCATGAGGCTACAAAGCAGACTTGTCATTGTGAAGGAAAAAAAAAAACATTAACAGTTTTTACAGATGACACGTTCACACAACTTTATATTATGTATGGACAATGACTGTCCTCTTCTTTTTGTGGTTTAGCGAGTCGGTGAAACAAGAGCCAGAGGATGACGACTTTACTTCAAAGAAGAAAGGATTGAAAAGGAAAAGAATTAAGGATGAGCCTGTGGACGGCCCTTCAACATCCAGCGCCACACCTATGTAAGTCTGGCCAGGTCTTTGTTTGGGTAATAAAGTTCTTGTGGCACACAAGTTCATATTTGTGTATAATACAATGCTCATCATTTAGGGAGCATTGAATCATCACATTATAACATCAAGTCAGTTAAACATCAGGGATATACATTTTTCCAGTTAGGAAGCATAAGCAATTGTGAATCAGTGTCACTTGTTTTAGTGCAAATGAAAGTGACAACAGGTGCACGGGAGAGCCAACAGCAAGACAACCTGCAAAAAGGGAACAGTTTTGTAGGTGGTGGCCACAGACAGTTGATCTCTCTTTATCCTTCCTGACTGATTATTCTTTAGTTTTGCGTTTTTCTAGTGTCCTTGTCACTACTGGTAGCATGAGGCGTTTCCTTCAGCCCATTCAGGATGGCACATCCATACGTGTGAATGTTGTGAAGGTTTGCTGTGTCTTCCAGCACAGTCTCAAGAGCATGGAGGAGATACCAGGAGACAGGCCAGGACACAGAGCTGGACAGCGCCGTAGAAGGGCATCAACCCAGCAACAGGATCGGTATCTGCCCCTTTGTGCGAAAGAACCGGAGGAGCACTGCCAGAGCCCTACAAAATGACCTCCAACTGGCTGCTGGTGTGCATGTTTCAGACCAAACTGTCAGAAACAGACTCCATGAGGGTGGAATAAGGGCCCGAAGTCCTCTAGTGGGATCTGTGCTCACAGCCCAGCACCATGCAGCTTGATTGGCATTTGCCAGAGAACACCAGAACTGGCACCATTGGCGCTAGGGCTGAATGATTTTGGAAAATAATCTAATTGCGATTTCATTTTTTACCAACATTCCGATTTAATATGCCATTCATTTTTTCAGCTCTTTACCTTCTGTATTATTCAAAACAGACAAGCAATAAACCAGTGTGTAGTCTGACCAACAGATAGATAGATTAAACACTGTTCTTTCTTGTAGGCCAGGCCTGTGTTATGATGAAATTAGGTGATGCTTTAATTGCATGAATTATTATTCTCAGCAATGGTGGAGAAGACTTATATAATTATTATAATATGAAAACGCTAATTTGAAAAACAAAGTTTACCAGTGTGAACTGTATTATACAGTAAGCGCCCAATACAAAACCCACAGTTCAACCACCAATTAAGGTTCTTATCTCAGTTCAAATCTCCTAGGAGTCCATCTCTCATCAAAAACCTCAAAAAATACTCAGTTTGAGGTTCAATTGAAAAGTTAAAACGAACGAAAATGAAACCAAGTGATGCCTCTCGTGTTTAATAGACAAGCTTAGTAATTCTCCGACAACACCGGAGTCCCCCCCCCCTCCTCCCCCGCAGCCTCCAATGCTAGTAAGCATGGCCTCTTCCGGACTTGTGGGTTTGGTTTGAAACGCTGTTACATAGATAGTTACTGAGCTGGCTGGTGGCTGTGTGTGTGACACAGGCGCCGATCGCCACAATACGCTTACCTTACTACGCATGTCTTTCTGTTTCTCCTGTCTGCCTAAGCGGCAGATGGCCAGACAATTTCAACCACCAGCATCACCAATCTACCCGCAGGTAGCAGGTGCTACTTTCATTCCCTGTGTGACACTAATGTTTCTGTTGTGTCAGCTACTGTTGAGCTTAAGGCCATTGTACAACAAGAAGGCGCAAGGTACAGCGTAATATTCGAAGTTGATGCTTCCTCTGCAGACTGGTTTACTCTCTTGTGTCATGTGACCAGAGCGTAGCCTTTGCGATTAGAAAATCTCGTTTTATCATATCGCAATAATAAATGCAATTAATCATTTAGCCCTAATTGCCGTGTGCGTCATGTTCTCTTCACAGATGAGAGCAGGTTCACATGTGAAAGAGTCTGGAGACGCTGTGATGAACTTTATGCTGCAGCATCATCCAGCATGACTGGTTGGCGGTGGATCAATGATAATCTAGGGGAGGCATATCCTTGGAGGGTTGTGCAGATCTCCTGCATGCCCAGCTTCATGTGTCAAAGTGTGTAGGCAGTTCCTGGATGACAAAGGCACTGATGCCATTGACTGGCCCTCACATTCCCCAGACCTGAACCCAAATTAAACTTCTGGGATGTTATATATTGGTCCATCAGACGCTGCCAAGCTGAGCAACAGACATTCCAAGAGCTCACTGATGCCCTGATCCAGGTCTGGGAGGAGATCACCCAGGACACCAATCGCAGTCTCATCAGGAGCATGCCCAGACATTGTCGGGAGTGCAAACAGGCACACTGTGGCCATACACCACTAAGTCATATTATGAGTTGGCGTTATGAAAATCATGCAAGTTCAACCTGTGATTTCATTATTTTTAGGTGTGATTTTTGAATCTGGCCCTCAATCGGTTTGTGATTTTGGTTTCCATTGACCTGTTGTTATGCTATTTTTTCCCCAACAAAATTATACAATGTACAGTAAATTTGAACTTTTAACTATTCATCATCTAGATCTGATGTGTGAATTAAGTGTTTCCTTAATTTGTTTGAGCAGTGTATTTACTGTTGTTTAATGAACATCCATGCATTTATTTCATATTGTATAAGCTATTAGTATTCTGTCTTCTGTTTACCTGCAGCCCAAAGAAAAAAAGAAAGCAACATGGGCAGGAAGAAGAAAGAGGCGAAGAAGCTCAGAAAAAGAAGTCAAAGAAGAGAACAGAAAAGGTAAATATCTGCCTTCCTGAGGTAATCTGTCTCCATCAATAAAACTTGCGCTATATGAAGTTTGCTGCAAATGCAGTTCATGATGGGAGTGTTTGAATCTTCAGTGTTTTTCTTGGTACAGGCGGTAAAGAAAGAGGAAGGAGAGCAACCAGTCACTAAAAAACCTAAGAGGACAAAGGAGGAGATTGAGGAGACAAGACAGCTGAAGATCAAAAAGAAGAAGGAGGAGGAGCAGAATCGCTGGAGATGGTTGGGAAATGCTACTCTCTTCATTTTGATATGACCTGGACCCACCTCCAGCGCACACACACGCACAGACACACACACATGGGGAAACCAGAGCACAGCGATTTTCACTTTCCCAAATATGTCCTCATTTTTTTCATCATCTATCTTTGTCAGGTGGGAGGAAGAGAAGTACGAAGATGGGGTGAAATGGAGGTTTCTTGAACACAATGGACCCTACTTCCCTCCTGACTACCAGCCTCTGCCAGACAACGTTCACTTCTTCTATGGTGGTCAGTTGAGCATGGAAGAAAGTGTGAATGAAACATGCTTGAAAGGGTTTTATACAAGTTATTTTTTGACACTCCATATATTTTCTTTGACAGTAATTTAAAATCTTGGCACTTCACGGGTGTTTTTTTTGAGTACAAAGTACAAAATTCATAAATTTCAAGTTCTCCTATGTAACACCTCTATTTGATGTTTTTCCAGCTTTTTATGAAGACTTGTTGATGTGTGCCTTTTACAAGATCAGCATAAAAGCAGCCAAAAAGAAAATAAATACACAAACATAATTTAAGATTAGGTTAAAAAGAATGAATTGGTGGTACAGAAGTAGTGATACCAACAAACAGCGCAATTCATCAAAAATACATGGGAATTTGTATAAACACAAGTTAAAGCAAGTAAAGAAGTAAAACATAGTATTTAAAGACTTGGTGTAAGACATACAGTGCAGAATCAGTGACATACTGCACATTAATTGAAATATATCATCTTAATGATACGAAAGCCTGTTTTATTAAAAAAGTGCTCAGAAGCAATTTAAAAGAGGATATTAATTTCTCAAGTCACATACACACCCACCTCATGCTGTGATTGGCCAGCTGTGTGAAGGTCAGAACGGAGCCAGGGTTTGAACTTCTCTCTAGCTCCTTTTTTCCCCCTTTCCTGACACAATTATTTTTGTCACTTGTTTCGGGTACAGCTGACCGTACTAATGCCTTCCAGGAGAGCCTGTCCGAAAATGTGTGCTGTTATCCCCATATTTAACTATCATCGAGCCTCCTCCATATATGTTGTGCACAGTAGAAGAGGAGTCATCCCCCAGCAGGACAGTTGGCCTTTTAAAAATGCATCAAAGCAATGCTGACTAGTTTTGACATTGAAGAAAAAGTGTGAAATTGCGTGGCTTTCACTCCAGTGTCACAAGGCCACTTTCCTTTTGTACACATTTGGAAACGGGACAGACAAATTATGCTGTAACATCAAAAGTAGCCCATGGAGCTTTAAAATCGTGCTGGAATAATGTAGATTCTCAGATTTGTGGGCGGATCTTTGGAGGCTAGCATACAGGCACACACAAACACAAGACACACAGAAATGGATCTTTAGGACACAAAAGGTGTACTGGGTCAGGCACTGATTGATGACTGTAATTGCTTTTGCTTTGTTTAAGAGTCTACCCACAATGGTATCCTACAGGGATTTGATTTGATCTGTTAATTCCTGTGCCTGCATGTACTTGTTTGGAGCTCACCCTTAGTAGTGGGACTGAATGTAAATCTTTGTCCTTGTCTCTGAGCCTCTGTTAATTCATGGATTAGTCAGGACTCTAGAGGAGCTCAGGGTGGCTCTTTCAGCATGTGGGGTTTTGATCTGAGCCCCCATAGGTGTGTGTTTTGAGTTTTGTCATTCATAGTTGTTTTTGTTTTTTTTGGAACATACAAGTTAGGACTTCAAGGTCATAAATGTTTAAGAATGCCATGTTGTATTGTGTTGTTGTTTTGTGTATTGCAGGTAAGAAGGTGAAGCTGAGCCTTGCAGCTGAGGAGGTGGCGTTGTTCTTTGCCCAGATGTTAGACCACGAGTACACCACCAAGACGGTGTTCCGGGAGAATTTCTTTAAAGATTGGAGAAAGGTAAAGCAAGAAGGCGTCATAGATCTCAGTCAGTTTTAGAAGGGGGTGGGGCTCACTCCTTACTGACCCTCTAAGCCAGTGGTTGGCAATAGGCGGCCCATGGGCCAGAACCGGCCCACCAGCAATAATGTGGCCTCCGGCCAGATTGCTTTGATAGCAGAAAAATAAAGAAATTGATAACGGCTAGTGCTGCAATAGATCTCAGTCATGACAGCTACAGTTACTCACACAATCACTTCCACGTGATTTTGCCTCTAAAATAAAAGCGTGACAACATCTTTTCAGCAATGTTTCATGTCGAGTTTATTAAGAGCTTTTACTTTGAAGAGTTCTGAAGGACATTCAGAACAGTCTCTTGACACACCTCTGAAAAAGCCGTCAGTAAACGTGTGATTGGATTCCCCTGAATTCTTGCAGGGAAATGTCCATAGGTTTATGAATGCGGATCGAACGTGCACACATCACTGCAGCACATGCTTTATTGTGAGCATGTGCAAAAGTGTCCTTTTATTCAATTTGTTTAACAAGGGAGAAAAAATATCTGCAGTAAGGTGGAATTGATCTTACAACCTACCTAACGGGAGTCCCGCCCAATACCAACTGAGCTAAACATACACATGATTTGAAATCATTTGACTTTGTTCTGGCCCGCCATGTTATTTGCCGACCCCTGCTCTAACCTGACACGTGCAGCTCAGAGGTTTCTCTAGAACTACAATTGAAATCAAGTTAAATGAAATGAATTTACATATTTACGTTAAGACAAACACAAATACAATATATTCCCATGTTTTTACTTTTATTAACTGTTAATTCAGGGGAATCATGCAGCATCAGCCTCCCATAATGTAAGCTCCAGCAACCTTGATAACATTCAGTTACAGTATTAGTTGTCTGTATTCCAGCTTTGTCTTAAGACTGTGACTGGTACCTGGTGTCTGTCAGGGTGTCCTCTGTATAGAGAAAACACTGTGCCAAGCCCCAAGGCATATCATGCAGAATTAATTTTGCGCTGCTTAGTGCTCAATGCACTTGAAAATACGATTTGTGTGAAGGCATTGATATGCTAATCCATACAAGTAGCTCCCCTGCATATGAACAAATCCAATTAAACTGTTTTATTATAGCCGGAAAAAACTCTCCTCGCTCCACTGCCCTCAGTGCCCGCCCACTGTCGGGTGTCACTCATGCTTAGACACGCAGGCTGACTGCGTTTCCATACTGTCAGTGTTTTGTGTACAGAGGTGCGCGTGTGCGTGCTGATCTAGAGGTATGTTTCTGCATTTCATCTCCTATGACCCTTGATGACACAAGTGGACCAGGTCAGCACAGCTCTCAGAAAAGCTTGATGGTTGAGAATGGTTTCCTTTAACCTTAATGAATGTGTTTAGGTTAGATGCTCCTTTTTGTCTGTCAAATGGTGTTCCCATATAAATCTTCCTTATATTATGATTTAAGCTTCAATATGATAACTGTTAGGGTCGCTGTGCTGTTTTTCATGAGCACTGCTGTAGGGCTGCAGATATTGATTATTTTAGTGATCAAGTATTCTACAAATTATTCAATCAGTTCATCGAGTAATCTGATAAAAAATACTTTTGTGCCGACTGTATTTCTTAAGGAAGCTGAAGAAGGCCGAATTCCCGTGCCAAGTCCTTTTTTAGCTTTTACAGAGGAGAAATGGAAAGCATCCTGACTGAAGACATTGCTAACTGGCATGGGATGTGCACGTCCCAGGACCGGAGGGCTCTGCAGCGGGTGATTTAAACTGCTCAGATGATCATTGGTCTCTTGAATCAAATCACATTGACTTCACTTGTCCACAGCTTAAGCATGATGTGCGACTGTAGTCGTGTTTGCGGAACAGTGTGCTGTATATAGTTACATGAAGCGAAGCATTGATGCAACAAATTTGCATTGATGCCTATTAGTAATTGAGTTACTCCAGTTTCTCGATGAATTGTTTCAGCTCTACACTGCTGTAGTGATGAGTGTGCACAATAACATAAAGATGTCCAGCTCATTGAAAGCCCCGTTCATTGTTTACTGTTACTGTTAGAGCCTGTCGAGGTCCAGTATGACCTTTAAAAATAGACATCCAAAAAGGGATTTTGCTCTACACTGGGAAATGTTGGCCTCTATTTTCTGCTGCAATAGCTCTCTTGCCCGACAGCAGGAGGCCATATTAAAAGCCACTCATGTTGTCATGACATTTTAGCACCAGAAACTTCTGAGATGAACCATAAAGCCTCCGCTGAAGTTCTCTGTATTGCTGCCCTGTTAGCGACCTCTTTGATAGGGTGACCCCTTGTGCAATAACTTCAGAAAGTTGACAATTAAAGTTGAAACTCGGCTGCTCTGCTGCATTGCTGTGTCAAGACTGTTTGTTTAGCTTCCTTGGCAGTGGCCTTCTCAGGAGTAAATGGTCTATACTCTGGCCTTTCATAACAATACCACTTGATTATTTTTCTGCCCACACCGCCTCCATTAAACAAGTAATTAAACAAAAGGTCGCTGATCTGCTTTGATCATGCTCGTTTTACATGATTTTTATGAAACATTATTGTTGTGACGCCCTATTTCACAGACCAAGGTTCTATACTCTTTATTATTAGCTCTTTGTGTATTGAATAAAGCAGTCGTGTGCACTGCTGTTGTCTCTTTCTTCTTTCAGTACAAGATTTTGACTCTGCACATAGGAAGTGTTTAGGTGTGAATGCTTTCTGTGATCAGGATTGAGGTTTTCAGTTAAAAATGCATTTGGTTTTATCAGTATTTCCCCACTGTAACTATTGAACTGTGGATAAAAATATATTAATCCAACTGCTGTCATTGATGAAGTTTAATTATTCTGGCATTCAAGGATACTTGGGCTGCAACAATTATCTTCATTATAGATTAATCTGATTTGATAAATTGGAACCTGGCCTCTACGTAAGCAGTGTAAAATGGATGGATGACTCAATACATTTTTTTCTGTCAGAAAATAGGGTAAAATACTCATCACTTTCACAGAGGCATGTTTCATTTTTGCTTCATTAATGACTGAAGACATAAATGATCAAAAGTGTTGATTCACCTCTAATTGTGTAATTGTTTTATCAAGGATATCTTTATGCAGCTATAGTGTGTGTGTGTGTGTGTGTATAAGTGTTGAATACTTTTTTGTCTGTTTAGGAAATGACCCATGAGGAGAGGTCACTGATACAAGATCTTAACAAATGTGACTTTGGAGAGATGCATGCTATGCATAAAGCCAAAGTGGAGGACAGGAAAAACATGACCAAGGAGGAGAAACTGGTAAGGTTCAAGCTTTCTTTCCTCTGCTGTTTTACACTTCCTTCTGTTAGTGTCTAAAAAAGGTCAGTGTAGACAGTTTAGGTTGTGTATAATTATTTTAATCAATTATTATTTGTTTTTGTTTTATTTCTGTTGTAGGCTGTGAAAGAGGCCAACCAGAAGATAGTGGACGAGTATGGTTACTGTCTGCTGGATCACCACAAAGAGCGCATCGGCAACTTTAAGATTGAGCCTCCAGGGCTGTTCCGGGGTAGAGGCGAGCATCCCAAACAGGGCATGCTGAAGAAAAGGATCCAGCCGGAGGATGTCATCATCAACTGCGCCAAGTGAGAGTTGGGCAAAGGGATCACACTGCCTACAGAGATGTGTGACTGTAGTGATGCATAGGTGAAGTAAAAGCTGGTGTGACAAAAAGCTGGGTTTTAGTAAAACTCCCATCACCCTCGCCGCTACAAACCCAGCTGACCTTGTAGCTGGGCAAAGAAGTCCTCCATGTACAAAGGGTTTAAAAGCTTTCAATCATTGGGAAATAATTTCAGTCTTTTCAAAATGTACATTACCATGTTTCTTAGTATGCAACAAAGTGTATCTGTGTTTGACAGCTGCACAGCCATTGGTAATACACTGCTACAATGTATGTACACTGCGTTCTCTTTAATCCACAGAGAAGCCCGTATCCCCGTGCCGCCTGCTGGTCACCGTTGGAAGGAGGTTCGACATGACAACACTGTGACATGGCTGGCCAGCTGGACTGAGAACATCCAGGGCTCCATTAAATACATCATGCTCAATGCCAACTCAAAACTCAAGGTAGCCTGTCCGTCTGCTGCAAACAGGCAAAAATGCTCCTACATATATATCAAAGGAACATGAATCATAACCAACTATTTATTTTTTTATTTGACCAGTTGTTTTGTTGCAGTTCAGTGACAGGTAGGCAGTCTCTGTTCAGTGGTATGTGTGATGATCATGTGGCTTTAAAGAACTCAAATTTGATTGAACACTAGGTTTTTAGATTGGGTGTTCAGTTAAGAATTACATTTACCCAACCTTCCCACAAGCACCTGAATGCACCATTCAAGTGTTGCCATAGCAGCATCTGTACTGAACTGCTCCACTCAACAAAAATGGAACTTTGACAATGTGACACGTCATGTTATTCACTGCAATGGATAATATATCTCAAAATGAGGCCGCACCAAGGCCCGAGTCTTGCAATAGGATGCTGCAATCGTTACACAAAAATACAGGATGTGTAAACATTTCCACAGCAATTTATGCTCATTCTGAATCTAGTCCCTGTACAATAACGTTTTTGTAAACCAAGGTATATATTTTTTTAAAACAATTGTTAAGCAATTCTAGTAATTTTAATTTAAAGGTTAAGGGCATAAGATTTAGTGACATGTAGCGGTGAGGTTTCATACGCTGTTTGAGGTTTCAAACTGTGTAGGACAGCTACAGTGGTTGACAGGACAAAAGATGACGTCATCTGAGACAGCAGAGAGTTGCCAGTCAAAAAATATTGTTTCTTTAGATAGATTTATTAAGAAATTATATTTACTTAATTATTCAGTAAAACCAAATGTTATTGGGACAGATAACATGGAAAATGTAAGCCAACAGTGTGTCACATTGTCACATTTTCTGCATTACAGTCCATTATAAACCACATAATGGATGTAGCTTATACAAACATTGACAAGGGGAACACGTTACTTCTCTCTGTGATTATGGACCCTCGCCAAAACTGCCTCACAGCAATAATATGTGGCCCGCAGCCAGACTGTGGTACTTGGCGGCAGGAAATAAAAATAAATAAATACTTTGATAGCGGTGCTGAATTAAATCTCAGTCATGACAGCAACAGTTCACATAATCACTTCCTTTTTAGTGGATTTGTCTGCAAAATAAAAGCGCAAGAGTGTTTTTTGCAGAAAAGTTTTTTTTTGAGTGGAATTGAGAGCTTTTACTCTGAAAAATTGCATTTCTGTGAATAGATCCTCAGAAATATTACACATTGGACCCTTACAAACAAACTATAAACTATTTACAAATCTAGAAAGGCCAAGTTTTGTTTTAAGTGTAACCCTGTGAGTTATCCCATTTCTGTTGTGCTCTCCATTTGCTCACTCCTCCTCTTCCTTCTTTCCATCCTTCATTTAAAGGTTAAGTTATTCCACTGTTAGTCTCTATGACAATATGTGTGTGTTCACTGACGGTGGGTTTAATTGTCTGAAGAAATAAACAGCACACGACGGGCAAAGAGTATTTTGTCTTTAAAGTTGTGTGTCTTTATATTTGTTACCTTTTTTTATGATATAACATCCTGTATTTGTGTCATGTAACAATATTGAATAATGTTTTGATTTAAGGCTTTTCAAGTAAAATTACTTTGTTGTCACCTATGAACGCAGGGAGAGAAGGACTGGGAGAAATATGAGGTTGCTCGGAAACTGAAGTCATGCGTGGTCGACATCCGTAACCAGTACCTCCAGGATCTCAAATCGAAACAGATGTGCACGCGGCAAAGAGCTGTGGCCCTCTACTTCATAGACAAGGTCTGATTCTGAGCCGTTTGCTCAAAGAAAAACTTTTGAAGTAAAGATGCAGCAATTAGGATACCAAGTACACACCAGAGCTAGAGATAAACTGCTGTCAGTTTCACAGAATCTCCTTGGTGCATAGCTCTTGTTCCGAGAGCCTCGTGAACAAATTGGAAATCAATGCGATGTGTCTTGATTGCCTTTTCTGTTTTGTCACATAGCTGGATGGAAGATATTTCTGCAATGAGAAAAATGGATTATATGTAGCCATTTTATTCTAGTGACCCCAAGCTAATTATCTCAGTCTGTCAGTGAAATGACAGATTGACTGTGTGATTGCTTTTGGCTCATGCCAAAGACTGTTAAATTCAGATTGGTTTTGTTGTGTTTACAATGCAGCTCTTTATTCCTGCTTCATGTAATGTGTGTATGTGTACATGTATAGTAGTCATCTGATTGGCACACGCTTGTTGTGTGACTTGGAGGGGGGATGGTGTTGAAAGTGCAGGGGAGAGTATGCGTAGATCTGACATGTATTTATCTCTGTATCTCCTGCCCCCCTCCAAAAAAAAAAAAGCTTGCGCTGAGAGCTGGTAATGAGAAGGAGGAGGGAGAGACGGCGGACACGGTGGGTTGCTGCTCGCTCCGTGTCGAGCACATCACCCTCCACGAGCAACTGGAGGGCAACGAGTGCGTGGTGGAATTCGACTTCCTGGGTAAAGACTCGATTCGGTACTACAACAAGGTCCCCGTCATCAAGAAGGTAAAGGATCAACAACAAAAGACACTTCTACACACACATCGAGTCCTGCTTTCAAGTGTTTGCTTGGACATGAAAATATTATTCTGGAAACAATAATCTGTACATTCTCTGTAGAAGACCTCAGTAAAAGAAGCTAATATAGAGGCCGGCCAATGCAATACACAGCCAATATATTTCATTATAATAATCGAGGTTTTGCCCTTTGGGTTTTGGCAGAAATCCCTGCAGAGAAGGTCACTTGCATACATATCGACAAGCACACGGAGCCCGAGGCAGAGAGGGACCAGAGAAATGTCCTCGGGGCACAGTTGTAGATTGGATTCCTGCGGCTCTGGTGGTTTCATTTGTCTGTCTGTTAGAACTGTTGAACTGCCCCTCTTTTCCAGTCTGCTTCTCTTGGAATACATGTTCACGGAGGTGAATTCTTCCTCGTCGTCATCTAAGCATTATGAACTAGTTTGAATATTCTGGTCATCCAAATACTTCTAGTACAGGTCAAAACACTTTAACACTGTTTCCTATAATGCACCTCAGCTGCATCTGTCATTAGACCTCAGTCTGCCTGTGAAGTGCCCAGCTCTTTTAGTCCACACCTCCGGTTTGTAATTCAGGTTTTCTGTTCAAACTTTGAAGTCCCAAGCCCAAACATGACATCACAATAACCACAGGCCTAAGAAGACATTACACAACAGTATACCAGAGGCTGAGTGGTACTCCTTGTGATGTGTAAACTGAACTTCATTGTTTTAATTTGTGCACCTTTTAAGATCTGCAGTGCTATTGCCATTCAGAGGTGCTTTTCAGTGTGCAAAGATTGTTGTAACAGGAGGCCTGTTGAAACTTCCAGTTGCAGGACTTGAGGTTGTTGCTGGGGTTTGTGACTACTTTCTATATTGAAATTCAGTCTTTCTGCTTCCCAGCATCAGATATTAGGAAAGACTAAATAGTAAAGAATTAGTTGGTGTTACTGTATAATTGTAATTTTAGTTTAGGACTAAGCTTTTCTTCGGCAGTGCTTCATGCTGTCAGGTGTCTTCATAGTGTATGCTAATGTCAACGGGACAGACTGCCAGCAGTGGGTATTTTAAAAAGAACAAAGTAATTAAGTATTGCAGCAACCCTTGTCAGCTGTTAGTTTACCTGATAAAGTAATTGCGTACTGCAGTGAGCAGGTTGGCTAATGTCACAATACAAGAAAACAAAAGGTCTCTGTGAACTTTTTAAAAAATGTTTTAATCTTGTTTAGGGGTGTGTGTGTGTGTGTGTGTGTGTGTATAAATTTCCATCCCCTCCTCTGGTGTCAGTCCGTGCTATCTTCTATTCCAGAGATGGAAAAAGAAATGTTAGCACCTGACAGCCAAGTGTTTTGTTTCCTGGCAGAACCTATAATTATTCAAATGAGAACATTCAAAAGCAACACATTAGCTAGAATTAATTAGTCCCTTGCATATTTTAGCATCATCAATTCCCAGGGATATCAGTGAGATTGCTGCTAAATGTCACTTGGAATAAAATGGAACAGGGATGTAATGAAGGAATTTCCATTTCTAACCTCTGAAGGGGTTCGAAATCGTTGAATTTAATACTCAGGGTTATATACGTGGCTTATATACTGTACGTAAAATTGCTATTTTTGCAAAAAACTATCTGCATGCAGAGAACATAGGGCACAGGAAACGGATAGAAAAATGGCAAAGTGGAGGCTTGCTATGCATGATATGGGCCAACAGTACTGTCTGTGCCATGTGTAATTAAATGGAAAGAAGACGTTAAAATCACTGTTTCTCAGCAGAAACGGGTGTAACCATAAGGGTTAATAATAAGCCATCCAGATGAACACTTGTGTGCATTTCCCAACCATGAATGCACAAGGCAATGACTGATCACCATCTTGGTGCATCTGTTTATTGTATAAAAGCAAGTATCTACTTATTACTCAATTTGAACACCAGTTTGAACGCTTAATGATTTAATCAAATAACCCCGGAGTGTGGGGACACCTGCAGATGCATAAATGTACTGTGTTGGGTATTTTCAGCCTGCTGAATGTTTAGCTATTCATTCCGAAAATGATTATTTCCATTCTTAAGACACACATGCACCCAAACACATCACTAAACCAATTAGTCTTGCTCACTTTGGTGTCTAGGCTTCTCTGAGACTTTTAGACAGACACTGATTTACATTTTCATCCCAAAAACACTTGCACTTTGCTTTTTATATTTTCAGTTTATTTGCCATGGGGGACAAAATTGCCACACACGTCAGCCACTGAATATGTCAGTGTATTTTATTAAGCAACACATCTGTTGCTATTAATTGGTGTCTTGCATATTTTACTAGCTTATTTGGGGAGCGCTGCATCTGTGGAACCCACAGAGTTGCTGGAAATGTCAGATGTAATTGTGCCAATTTTACTCCACTGGCTCTTCTCGGAGATGGACAAATGATGCCAGGTTCTCTCTCTCTCTCTCTCACACACACACACGTCTAACATGCATTATGATGTATTTGGATAAGAATGTGATTTTATCGGTTATGGTGATTCTACATCTGACTTGTTAACTAGCCTTTAAAGGATACCTTTTTGCTTTTTCCGTTAAATGTATTTACATATTGAATGCAATTTAACCTCTACTGTAATATTTCAGAACAATGTCCTAATTGCCCCACTTGGGCCAGTGATGTTGGCAATTGATGACTACCAACTGCTTGACTGGTTTACTGTGTTACAATATTAATGCATGAATGCCCTTACTACGATATTTATAGCGCTCTAGTAAAACATAAACTTTACAGTCATCGGTGCAACACCAAATTTCCATTCCCATTTTCAGTGGTTAGTAGATAAGGTAGTTAACCTTGGATTGGGGTGAGACATAGCAGATAAGTAAATGTTAATTTTTATGGTGTACATTTGGTAGAAAAGCCATTTGATCAAATTTGTCTGGATATCTTTCAGGTTTTTAAAAATCTTAAACTGTTCCTGGAGAATAAGGAACCTGGAGATGACCTCTTTGACCGTCTAAATGTGAGTGTCTCATTAACTCCTACTACATTTATTTCTTCATGTTTTCAGTGATTTTAGGCATTTGAACCTTTTGTGAAACATTGTTACAGCGAGTGCACTATATTTTTGGTGTTAAAGGAATTAATTAAAAGAAACAAGTATAAGTGAGTGCGCTTTATAATTGCCAAATTTGTGTAAAAGAGTATTTGAATGTTTTCAGGGCTGTGTCAAATGTGTGAGAAACTCCCCTGAGGTGTGTAATATTAGAAGAAAAGGTAGAAAAAGATAGTGAAAGCAAAATACAATTACTTTTACTTTTTCTTTTTTTTTTTTTAAATGTTTTCTGGAGACAGAAGGCTGCAGTAAAGGAAAAGCAGGGACTAAATTGTAAGGTGTAAGAGATGAGATTGAATGAGGATGAGCCATTGGTGTGAGGAGATGAAAGGAGTAAAGTGAGGAAACGGGAGGTGAGGAGAAGGGAGAGAATATTGGAAGCGGGGAGACTGAAAGCAGAAAAGGAGTTTCAAAAGAGAGAGGGGATGGACTCTAGCAGATAAAACTGAAACGGCGCGAGTGGAAATTGAAAGTGAACATGCTGGGCGGATGAATTTCCACACACAAAAATCTGGCATCCTCTCAACCTCTTCCTCTAGCTGCAGGCAGCAAGGCCACACAGAATACAGGAGTTGTACACATGGTTATTTCACTGCAGGGAGACGCGGGGCTTCTCAGGGTGCACTCAGTCTTTATAAAACAAGAGCATTATTTGTCTCTTTAAGGCCAGAGCCCAAGATTATCCTTGCCGAGGAAACATATTCAGAACCACTGAATATACAGGCTTCTTCTAGTGGAAACCAGACTACTGCTACAGCAGCTCACAGCCTGGTGACCTTGGGTTAAGTGCCATGATTGCTGAGAAACACCTTGTCTTCTGATGCACTCAAGGGAGACAGTGTTGTAGGTTGGAACGTATGCAACAGATGAATGGTCACATCGCAGGAGAGGGGTTTAATGAAACAGAAGGAGAAAGGGATGCAGATAAGAATGCACGAGGAAGGACTGAGAGCCAGTCACGTGTTGATATACAAAGATTGACAGGCAGGGAAAGGACAGCGCAAGACAGGACAGGAGCAGAGAGAGGGTAAGATGAAGAGATGGTGCAATTGAAGGGAAGGAGTGCGGTGCCTGCCTCTGCTCTCTGCCCTCTAGTGTGTCAGGAAATGTCAGGGTGTGTTGGAGGTGGAATGGTAATGGCTGCTGTGGGCAGGACTGATTGACACCCGCAAAGGCCAGGCCACTGAGAGAGCGGAGGTAGAGGGCGTGTGGAGGAGTGGACAGAGCGGTAAGGAAAGTGACAGCTGGTCCAGGTGAGGGGAGGTTAGGAGAGAGAAGGTAGGAGATGGCTGGGAACGAAAAAGGTAGCTAGGGAGAGAAGATGGAGGGAGAGAGAAAGCAAGGGGGTACAGTTGACAACCAGGCAATGGCTGTAAGGCCGAGACGAGGAAGGGGAGGAAGATGTGGATATAGGATGGAAGATGAGTGGTGGAACTGTAGCGTGTGCTGCTATCCTCACCTAGCCTTATGTAGAGAGATGGTGGGAAACAAAAGCCGAAAATTGGGCCTGAAAAGTAAATAAAAAGATTCCAAGACATATTGTGTGAACAGCCTTTCTGATGTTTGAAGCTAAACCAACTAGCCTGGTGAGTGTGGTGTTAAGTGGTCCAGTACTGCTCACTAGGAGGTGACACAGGAGTGGATTTTAACTCTTGCCCCATCCCACTCCCACAAAAATACTTCTGTCCCGTCCCTATCCCTGAAGAATGACTCCTATCCCATCACATTCCTGATTTATTTTTTTATCACAAAATAGCATTTATTCATATTAAAACAGATCTATGATTACCGTCCTTTCCATCCATGTTAACCTTTTACTCTCCCAGTTCCGTGACAAATCGTGAAATTGCCTCCAACCCCGTGGGAATCCCACAGCAATCCCATGACCCACAGGATTCCCGAAAAAATGTCAGCCTCTACCGCTCGCATGTATGATCATGATCATTCAAATCCAGCACAGGGCTTTGTGTCCCCTCCCTGTCCTGCTCTGTCCTGTCTCTGGCCACCTTTGAAAACCGTCATACTAAAATGCTGAAATGCTGTATAATGTTATATTTATTTTGCAGAAATAATGTACAGTGGAGTGCAATATACATGGTGGTGGTGGTGGGCATGCACTTACACACAGGCACTTACACACACGTCAAGTTGAGGTCTGAGTGCCTGATCTGAGCTGAACATGCAGGCGTTTTTCTGAAAGCCTCCTCTCCAGAGTCCACATCATTAGAGCTACAGGACGCACACTGTCTGCAGTTTCAACTGTAACCTCAGCTGAATTTCTTTAACTACATCTTAGTCAAATAAATTAAATTACAACCTGCGGTGTAATATAGTCCCTATGAGTTGCTTTATTTGGGCACATTTCATTATTTTCCACTCTATTGTACCCCTTTCACCGTTTATTAGAAAGGAGTGTGTGTGGGGTTGTGGTTGTTTTTTTTTTTTTCTTTCAGGGAACTGATGCAGAGAACACCCAAATTGGACCCAGTGAAAAATGAAAAGCAGATCATCATAGCTAGTTTAGAATGGGAACCATCAGTATTTCTCACTAGCATTAGTTGGCATCACTGTAAATTGGCTAGCGGTATGTTAATGAGAAAGTCTAGTACATAGCATCCTGTATTATAAATAGGAAATTACAGTTGCAGTAATCACAAGTGTGACAAGTAATGCCTGAGGAGATGACATACACAAACAAACACACATTTGTACACACACGATACATCATGCCAAGAGAGTTAGGGGTGTCATATTTGCCTCTCAGACTTGCAGACACCATCATTAGCATTGCAGGGGCAGTGTTAGTTGCTGTTGTGCCTGCCTTGCTAATGAGGTGTGTGTGTGTGTGTGTGTGTGTGTGTGTGTGCCTGTGGTGCTCTCCAGTGCATGCAGACTTACATATACGTGACACCCGTCCCTCATCCTCATGTTTCAAATAGGCTCCTTCAGTGAGATACACACATTCATGCAAGTCTGTGGCTCCAAACAGGCGGGTCCTGACCCGCTCTGATTAAACCAACCACATCATCATTTTAATCTTCATCAGGCTCGACCAAATGATTTTTTCTTTTGCCAGAGCTGTGAGCTCACCAGCAAGCTCATCTGGACGCGTTGTTTCAAGCCTGTGTGCATTTCATCTATGTTTAGAAATGCATGTGTCATCTGACAATCAAGTCCATGTGTTTGCACACCATATCTGTGTGTGTGCAGTGAGCATATGTGTTTATCTTGGCGTTCACACCAGTGTGTGCCCTTACAGTGTTCTCCAAAACTCTGTTTTATCTATTTGATGTTCTGTTGAAGCTGCAGCCATTTGACAGGAGCTAATGGCTATCTAACCGCTGTCTGTAACAGCTGGAACTTGTTATAATACCTACAGAAATGTCAGCGAAATGGTACTGTGATCTTTTTTAATCTTAAAGCTGTAATGGAATATGATGATAATGAAGGCAGATATTTTATGTGTTTTGTTTCTTATGGTATATCTCAGATGCTTTTAAACACTGCTGTGGGACAATGCCACAGTGCCACCTAGTGTTAGAGTTTTGATGTAGCTGGTATAATGGTTTTGGGATGACAGTGTATTTGTTGTATAGCACACTAATGTGAATGTGGTGTTCTTTGTCTTTCTCCTTACTGTTTGTCATTGCAGACAAACATGCTGAACAAGCACCTGAGTTCTCTAATGCCAGGTCTGACAGCAAAGGTCTTCAGGACATACAACGCCTCTATCACCTTACAGGAGCAGCTCAAAGAGCTCACAAACAGTAAGCTGCACACACTCACTACACTGTAAAGCATTACTAACATTACATAAATAGCTTTATAAAGCACTGGCTCATATTCAGCAGCTAGACAGGCCCCAGTAGCTTTGATCAGTCTGACTGTTATCATTGTCTTATTACCTGGCTGCTTGTGTCATGGAGTCCCATGATAAAACTGCCACACTTCTGACATGTTTTATTTTTAGCTTGCTCGATTGAAGATATCCAAGATGTCACTGAGCTTTTCCAGCCATGGCAGGAGTACATTATCACTGTACCCAGTGCTGTGCGTCTCTGCCTCACTCTTATCAGGGTCCCATTGGCTGCCTCTGCCACAGTTTTTCATTCAGAGATAGACGTGTCACACACTCTTCTCATCTCTGGATTGCCACTGAGAGCCAATCTGCAGGTTGACATGTGCTTGTTGTGTGGACCCCAGGAAGATAAGATGAAGCTAATAAGGATCTGAATAAATGAAATGGAAAAAGTAGCAGCCTATAATTGTGTGTATGTGTGTGTGTTCAAGGTTGTGATTTGTGGTGCAGATGGTGGGTGGGCAATAATAACACGAGGGACACCAGCGTGATTTTATCTTTTAAATTTGCGTGCATAATTCTGGTCTGATATGTGTTCTCAGTGGGATCTCCCTGTTTAAATACAAATTACTGTTCTGTCACCCTCCAAAGAGTCAGACAATGTGGCAGAGAAACTGCTGTCCTACAACAGGGCTAACAGAGCAGTTGCTATTCTGTGCAACCACCAGCGGGCACCACCAAAGACCTTTGATCAGTCTATGGCTAACCTTCAGGCCAAGGTAAGAACAGCTTGACTTGGTTTATTGACTTGGTTTTTTTCTCCGTGTAATATTTTCTTTTTTTAAGGAAGGCCAGGGCAGAATTCAAGAGACTGTAAACTTTTCTAACCTTTTCATATGTAAAAGCTTGCTCATGTACTTATGTGCTCCACCCAGATTGATGCTCGAAAGGAACAGCTGGCCCTAGCAAAGACGGAGCTGAAACAGGCCAAGAAGGAGGCCAAGACCAAAGGCAGCTCAGATTCCAAGCTGCAGACGTACGTGTTACAATAGTGCATGAAAAAACCCAGCAAGCTGTGGACATTAAAACGATTAGAAATGGTTGAGAACAATTGTAAGCTGCATACGCCTCTTCAGTGTAGACTAAATCACATGCTACACACAAGTACTGACAGAAGGGCACCGTGTAGGTTGTTAGGTTGTCCCATGTGCTTACAAATCAGGAGCCCTATTTCTGCCAGAGGTGTCTGACTCTGTTGCATCTGCCTTTTTGTATATATTTTTTTGTCAGGCTGGTGGAGCGGAAGAAGGCAGCAGTGAAGCGCTGTGAAGAGCAGTTGCTGAAGATGGAGGTCCAGGCGACTGACAGAGAAGAAAACAAACAGATTGCACTGGGTACCTCAAAGCTCAACTACCTGGACCCACGCATTAGCGTGGCATGGTGAGTGAAACATGGACACAACCTGCACAACCTTGGTGAAAGTTCTTACACATACACTCCTAAATTCCTGCATCTGTGTGCCTGTGGATCTGGATTTTCAAGTAGAACTACCTGAACCACCTCCACCTTTGGCCTGTGTCCCAAAGAAAGTTTATTGGGACAGCCAGCTGATTTTGGGCTTGCCAATATTCTGACCCTGGTTTACTTGTTATCAGTGCAAATCACCATGGTAACCTGAGATACACGACCAACCAGGCAGGTTCAGCTCAGTGGATCTGATCAAAATGTGTAAACAACCCACCTACTGACCAACTAATCTCTCTGGATAAACAGAGTCAGCAGTACAGCATTTATAGTAAATTAATAACAAAGACAAAGCAATGTGTTTACAGATCATTAGACTCACTTTGCTTTCTATGATAATTTATTTAGAGATATAAGGAATGTTGGTAGTATAACTGTTGGTCTACTCTTGCTCACAAATAGCAGGGGGTGACTTTGTAGAGAATCTTTTCTAGACTCAGTAAGATGATGATTGTGGATGAAACATAAATGCTGTAGCAGATTTATGCTCTGTATATTTATGCTTTGTTTTTCTTTCTTGCCTCAAAGCAAAATGTTACTTTACGCTATAGTTTTCTTCAGATGTACATTACAAGCACTAATCTCAGTAGTCAGTTTCTTTCCTAAACACACGCTATACTAAACAAAGTATACAAACAAAGTAGCCCAAAAGGTCAACTGTATATATAAGGCGGCCCATAAAATAATTTACGTAATCATAATAATGTACTCTTTTATAGCCCATTCCTTGTATTAATGTTATTTCTACAGTGTCTGTAGTTTGTATTCTGTGTGTGTGTGTGTGTGTACTCCATCTGGATAGATCTCTGCTGCTCTTTCAGAGAAAATATTTTGAGACTCATTAGAAGATTAACTGGTGGGTTTAAAAGAATATTTATTTTGCAGGGAATACTCAACAATCTTTTTTTCCCCATTTGTTCAGGTGTAAGAACATGGAGGTACCTGTAGAAAAAATCTACAATAAGACCCAAAGGGACAAGTTCGCCTGGGCCATCGACATGACTGAGGCAGACTTTGAGTTCTAACTTTAAACCTCCCATCTCATAAGCCGATACTAATATGCAATTGAGGAACCATTCACTTAATACATATAAGTACTTTAATATTGCATTTATAATATGTTCATATGCCACTGATGTACTTGATGAGATTGTGTGACACGATTTTTTCTGTTATATGCTTTTGGCACTTTATTTTGAAGCTCGCTGCTGTTTTGTTTGTAAATTTTGTGTTTGCATTCATTTGAATAAAGGTTCCTACTATGCAGTGAAGTGAGGAAGGTGTGGTTACAATTAGCCTAAAATGTTACTTTTGAGTGGACAGTTTTTGCAAATCCCTGATTCCATACACATTAAATTAAAAACATGTTATTGAGCATTATAAAAGATAAATTCCAAATTTCCCAGCTTAGTTGGCCCTTAAGTGTAATAGTAAAATGACATATCAATACATTACACAATACAGACCGAAAAACATGCAACAATGAGACGTTCCAGATCATTTGCATTTTAAAATACACCCACGGCTTGAAAAAATAAATACAGGAAAACACTGAGCACCTCAGTTAATTATTTCTAAGAATTCACTTAGCACCTGGCCAAATATTTCTACGGTAATACATGACAAACAGCATTGTTCTTAAATAGCTTTAATAGAAGAAAATCGGTCAGAATTGGAATGCATCCCCCACACCTTGGTAAATAACAGTGTGGTTTGTAAAATGCTTCAGATGTTCACTGTGGTCATTTCACATCAGTGGAGGTGGAGGTTCAACCGGCCTGTTAGCCTGCGAGTTATACTTATCACAGGCACACAGCACAGGCTTCAAAACTTTCCCCATCACCTCATGGGATTTAATTAATTACAACAGATGATGGCAGCGAAATAACCTCCAGGCTGGCGCACAAAATCCATAAGTTGCATTCCTGCACGTGAGCATTTTTAATTTGTGAAGGGCATATCACACTATTCTAGCTTACAAATAACTTTTCATGTCATTACATAACTGTAACCGTTTATCACAATATTCAATATATAAAAAAGCATTTTACACTACTACACACCAAATCAATATGTCATTTTCAGAATGGAAAAGTCTGCTGCTCCTGAATGTAGGACTGACTTCACACTGTGTTACTTAGGAACCTGTGGGAAAGACAAAAGAAATGTTGTAGGACACTGGTTCAAAGACAGTTTATTAATTCATAAAACACATAAGCACGCTTTTTGCCACATTTAAATGCTCTTGTATAGTGCCTTTCTAGTCTTTTCGACCACTCAAAGCACTTTTACACTACATCTGCATTCACCAGTCATTCACATTCATACACTGAGCCTAAGTGCTCAAACGGAAACTAGCATTCACACTCATTCATACACTGGCGGAACAGCCGCCAGGAGCAAATCGGGGTTCAGTATCTTGCCCAAGGACACTTCGACACGCAACCAGGGGGAGCCAGGGATTGAACCGCCGACCTTCCGATTAACGGCCAACCCGCTCTACCTCCTGAGCCACAGCCGCGATTTACATATGAAAAGGCATGAATAGAAGCTATTAGCTTATACTGGTGTTGAGTCTCCCACTTCCTTCTTACCGTCATTATGAACCTTGACCCTCTTTAGCCTTTTCCGGTGGTGCCTCAATCTCTTCAACACCAGCCTGAGTCATCAGGTCGGCGATGTTCTTCTCCAAGTCATCAATACGTGTGCTCATCTCATCAAGTGGACAGGCAGTTAAGGCACAAAATTAACTTAAGGACTCACCAAGTTACTCTTAGATGGGTGAAATAAAACACAAGTCAGTCTGACAGTCTATACTGATTATGAAAGTAAAACTGTAGAAGATGTAAAGAGACATGAATGCAAGAAATCACCAGTGAGACATCAATCCATTTAAACTAAAATTCAGAACCGTAATGCATTTAATTAACGAAGAATTGCTTGATGGCACTTTAAACTAGGATATTCCTCCCGATGATCTGGTCTGACATGGTCTGGAACTTGTCCTGCATCTGTTGCAGCAGTGTCTGGACCTGCAAAAGAAACCGCACAAATACTGTAAGTGCACCAGTGAAGCCACAAACAAATAATTCTACTGATCCCAGTTGGTTCACTGAAGATGGCAGCAGTACATTAAATTTACCAGTTTAATCTGAGGATGACATAATCAAGAGGATTTAAATAGCTCTCAGTGGACTATTCACTTTAAATGCTTGTGCCAGTGAAAAACGCCAACTCTAATGCACCGTGCCTGTGGTCTGAATGATTTAGAAAAGCAGCAGGACAATAACAAAAGTACCTAGTTTCCTTGGCAACAATGTAAAAGCTCAGTAACCATGGGAGATGAATCTCTAACTCACTGTGACAGGCATGTGTGCAGAACAATGAATGCACCATAAATTCATACTATGATGTATTGGTCAATTTTCTGCCGATCACATAATGTATTTCTGTCTATTATAGTGCTTTACAGTGGGGCGTCTGTGCCCCCAAACTGATCAATAGTTTAATTTCACCAAATGTGTTGATAAGAGGAACTCGTGAAACCCCAAATATAAAAGGTACACTGAGCAATTGTGTTACTTTCACCAAGTGTGTATTTCTGTTAAAATTAAGATTAATTAAAAACAAATAGAAAACTAAATAGTTACATTTACACAACTTTTTGTTGGAGTTTTTACAAGACAAGGTCGGTAAATATAGAAGTGTACGTTACAGAATAAAATTAAGAAAATAGGAAAAAGAAGCAAAAACTACAAGAGGTGATAAATATGTGTGTGGGGGGGAACTGAAGCTTAGCGTCTCTTACTGATGCTAATATCCAATATCCATGACAACATTCAGAAACATTAGCCTGCCTCAGCTGCCGTATGCTATATATGCAAAATAAAACTGCACATATTGACTGAATTGGACACATTACTATTAGAGCAGGAGTGCAGAAATATCGCTACACGGCCGCATAACTTCTGTAACGTTAATGCTACGCGGTTTACTCGCTTGTGATTTGGTGATGTAATTTAAAGACCAACTGAAAGTTACATAACGTTATGAAGGAAAAACTAAAGTCAGGGCTTAAGTGAACAGGCTGAAAAAACTCCATCAACATGTTTATAACACGAATAACTACCATGAAATGCTATGGGTGCTCATTACTATGCCAAATCTTTGCTAGTCAGCGAGCTAACGATAGCTTGCCATCATTAGCATTGTTATTGCCACTGCGAGCTAGGCTACTGTAGCTAATGTTAGCCTTTCTTCACGACTCACCACGTTAGTAAGGTCCTGCACCGACTTGGGGTCCGTCTCAGCCATGCTGTGGTTTAAAATATTATCAGTCACTTCACAGTACTACAATTCAAAAAGCGATTATTTTTGCTATCAGGCTCGAAACTGTTCAAAATAGATAGCAGTCTAGCAGTCTCCCGCACCACCCACCGCACAGTCAGCTGTTCTACAACACAGCCGAGTCTCGCGAGAGCTGTGTTACAGTGCTAAGAAATGTGGAAGTTTGAGTTTTAAATGGGCAGCATGTACAGTAGAAAGTTACGTTTACTGCTTATGTCCTCGAGAAGACCATAAAAGGCTCTCATTCATAGTATTTGTTCGCCAGAGTTAGGATGCACCCTATGAAGAGCCCCACCGACCTGCATGTTTAATGCTGGAGTTTGGTAAGGCTGCAAATTATCCTGAACAACGGTGTGTGCCAAATGAGTAAATGTAAATGTAAATGTGTCTCTCAGTGCGCGCGTGTGGGTTCCTGTCTGCGCGTGCATGCCTATCCTCTGTTGAGAAGGAGTTGGGATTTGAAAGTTGGAGCTGCCAGGGAACCCATGGTGTTTTGACGCGGAAACATTCGCGTGCGTGTGTGCGGGTTGGTGTTTTGATAAGGTAAAGGGAGGTGAATGAAGGAGACTGGTAAGTAAAGTTGGAAGTTGTCAATGTTTTACCTATAATATGTTGAATGTTCAATTTTGCCTCTTAACGGAGATAAATGAACAGACATTGTGTGTGTTGTGAGCGCGCTTTTTAAAGCTCTTTTAAAACAACACGCATGCTTTCTCAGAGCACGTTTGTTTTGGGTTACAGAGAAATGTTTAGCTCAGAGAAATTGTGAATTAGGCACGCTAAATCTTCTCCTTCTAATAATGACTTATAACGGTGTAATAGATGTGTACTGTGTGTGTTCAGGCATGTTAGTGACCCAACCCCATAAAGCTATGCTTTGCTTACATAACAGAGCATTTTCTTTACTTAGGGTGGCACGACACGTTTAACTTAGGCTACTATGCTGTGATGGTTTACTCCCACTACCAGGTAGAAGGAAATAGCGGAAGACGCATTGGCTTGTTAAATCCCGAGTAATGTTCAACTGCAGGAAACCTCTAAAAGAAAAAGTGGGTTGTGAAGGGCTGCAATTTTGCATTCACATTACATTGTTAATACGCTTAATTTTTTGAAAAATGCTCTAAATGCTCTGTAGATAAACTTTGCTCCATCTGATCCGTCGCCTGGCTCCATCCTTCAGACCAGCGAGGTCTTGGCAGGAATATTGCCATGCTTATGTCCTTAGCTGAGTTAGGTGGAATAACAGATGTCTCATGAGCAATCAGACACCGTCCATCTTCTGGATAACTCTCTGAGCTCCAAGTACAGCTGCATTTGATGTTGTGTTGAAATAGCCTGTTATCAGCAATCAAACCCTGTGTGTGATAACAAGTTACCACCAGAGAAGCTGTTGGTGAAGGTTTTAAATTTGGTCATGACTAAGTATTTCTTATTGTGGTTGCTCCTGTTGACTGCCTCTCTAAGCTGTACCGAGTGACTTGCAGACTGACACTAGCAGGCAAACATGTAAGTGGAGTTTATAATGATGCCGGCCCTTTGTTTTAGATTTGACAATGAAAATCATACTGTTAAGTGACACTGTTATTAATACACAGCCACAAGAAGAGTCATACAGTCACACAGGAATCACACTTCTCACCTGCACTTCTCACTATTTGCTCAGAATTTGTCGTGGTTTTTGTGTACACAGCAACATTCTGGCTCTTAATTCAAACACGTCCACTTGGCTTTTCCACTTTCATGGAGCTGTTTTCAGTTTTAGAAAATCACATTGTCTGAAATATAATGAACCACTGTGTTCTTTCTGTAGGGTGCTCTGAAGAAAGAGACTGTCCTTGTCCCTTTAGAAATTGGTGTTGTTATTCCCTCCTCAAGAATGCCTGCTAACGCCACAGTTTTAACACCACTAACACCACTAATTTTAAGGAACTGAGATAGTTGTAATGGAGACAAGACAGCTGTGTAATGTTGTATGTTTAACTGTGTGAACACTCAGAGTGAAGAACCTGTGTTGTGTTTGCAGTCAGTTAGGAGGAGAAGACACTTGACTGGCATTTTAACTCGTTATCTCCGCACTATGGCAGCTAATGCTGACCTCCTAACTGGCACACCTCAGCAGTGCCCCCAATATCTGGCTGTCATTTCTGCCTTCACCGGCTATTGGCTATTTAACCTTTCTTGCACTCCACTTCCTCTCTCTCTCTGGGACAGATCTTTAACTTCATTTCCCCAACTGTCATACCCGCCTGGCTTTGTGGTTTCTAATTCATCAAACATACGTGTACTTTTCTGTTAATGTGTGATCCTGTATTACTGATCATGTCTATGTAATTGTAGAAAGAAGTAATTTCAATGGTCTAGGGGCAGGTGTGTCCCGCATAGCCAAAATATATCTATATAAAGTAACTACAATTTTGCACTCACATGGTAGTTTAACAGCGTTTAATGTACACACAGTAGACAGACTAACGCATGGTCAAGAGCTGAAACATGTATACGGTTTTGTTGCTGCTGCGTTGCACATTAAAGATTGATAACATTTTCTAGTGTTTCTAGATTGAAACGCTGATTTTTGACCCAAACCATAAGATCCCACTGATCAAGCAGCACCTTGGCTCTCTGGGCCCTTCTGTCAAATCCAGCCTCAGAAACCTAGGGGTTGTGTTTGACCAGGCCATGTCCCTGGAGACACACTCAAAACAGGTCATTCGAAATTGCTTTTATCACCTTAGGAACATCTCTAAAATCCGCAAAATGTTGTTAAAGAAGGATCTGAAAATGATAATTCATGCTTTCATATCGACAAGACTCGACTACTGCAACGCTGTTTTTACCTGTCTGAATAAGTCTGCTTTGAACAAATTGCAAATTGTTCAAAATTCAGGTGCCCCTCGAAGTTCTCATATTACACCAGTCTTATTGGACCTCCATTGGCTCCCTGTAAAATTCAGGATTGATTTTAAGATTTTAGTGCTGACTTTCAGAGCCTTAAATGGTCAGGCCCCACATTACATCCTGGACCTTTTGAAGCCGTATTCCCCTGACCGCACTCTTCGGTCCTCTGGCCAGAACCCACTTGCAGTCCCTAAGACCCGTTATAAGACCCGAGGGGACATGTCATTTCAGTCTGTTGCTCCCAGACTGTGGAACACTCTGCCCCTGTCCATGCGTCTGGCAGACACTGTTGTCTCTTTTAAAAAGGATCTGAAAACATGTCTGTTTAAGAAGGCTTTTGGTTGATGGGTTTTCACTAGTGTCATTTTAATTTATATATTTATATACATTTTATACTGTTTGTTTTTATTTACTCTTGTACAGCACTTTGTGATTTTATCTGAGAAAAGCATTTTATAAATAAACTTTACTTACTTACTTACTTACTAGTGTGGATGCTATAACAAAATGTCTTAGATGAAAAGGGCTAGTAGGTCAAGGGTTAGGGTATTGTTAGTTATGTTAAATGTACATTTTATTTTCTCTAATGCTGGTTTGCACATTTTTGGCCATTCTTAAGCTATTGGCTTGCTTTAATTAGGTTTTCTTGTGGTGAGAGAGAGTTTTGTGCAGTCAGCAGAGACAACAAACTGGTCCATACATAACTGAGGCACTCACATCTAAGCAGCCTAATACTTTTTACTGCTGTTGGTGCTCTTGTGGAATGTTAATTTCAGGCCCTGGTATTGCCATCTGGCTACTTCAGGACATCCATCAGTGATAACTAGGGCTCCACAATTAATTGAAATATTATAGAAATTGCAATATGGCCAAATGTAAAGGTAAAATGTGTGACAAAACGATGTTTATTTGGTACCTCAACAAATGTAACATCATCATGATTATAATAGCTTTTTTAGGGAAAATGAAATAATAATTGCAATATAATTTTTCTTTTGCCTCCCAGGAGCAACATCTGGACGCCCCTGACTGTCTCTTGGTGTGATGGATGCAGAGGTGTTGCTGCAGGAGGAGGACATGGAGGGCTCGTGGATGCTGCTGTCCTGGCTGGCGTCCTGCATCATGGTGTTCGGGGGAGCTTTGCCCTATGTGCCACAGTACCAGGAGATCCATAGGAGCAGCACCAGTGAGGGCTTTTCCACCAGAATCTGCCTGGTGCTGCTCATAGCCAACATCCTGCGCATCTTCTTCTGGTGAGGAAGGCCTGTGTTGTGTTTTTTTTCTGTCTACTTTCTTGCTTTCTTTTTTTTTGCCCTTTGGAAGCCACAGGTCATTTTCAAGTTCATTCCTCAGATCAGACTTGGCGTCAAAAATTAATGGAATAGGAAAAGAATCACATAATACAATGAGATTGATTATATCATCTGAGCCATATGCAGTTCACTTTGAGGCTTCTTCCCAAATTGTTTTACACATCAGGCAACACAGGTCATTGTTCCGATTTGACAGACAGAAGAGGAAATTTAAGAGATTCTTTATGGAATTTGGGTATAACGTGTTGCCTATAAGGCCTGTCTTTGCTGCTTATAGCCTATAAAACATGTCCTGTAATAAAACCAGTAAAATATACAGTATATATAATATATATATATATACAGTATGTGTGAATAATTATACCCATAAAATTAAATAGAATAATATTGTGTGTTAACTGTGCTGTTTGCATTTTTTTCCTTATTATTTTTATTTTTATTGCATATGCCATATGAATTTCTTGTCTAACTGTATTTTTAGATTGCACTCTATAAGTTCTCTCCTATATATCTAAACTCTGGAATGTGATTGTTGTTTCGTTTGCGTCCCTGCAGGATAGGGAAGCAGTTTGAGCTCACCCTGCTGCTCCAGAGTGTGGTGATGATCCTCACCATGTTTGCCATGCTCCACCTCTGCTGCACGGTCCAAAACGCCAACCGAGTGAGCACCAAGCAACACCGACTTTCAGGTGACTTGCTCTCTGACAAAGAAACATCTTGGCTGACAACAGTAATCGTTTAATCGCTGTCATTTATGTTCAGTAATTACAAAGCGGGTAATAAACAACCTGTCCAGCATGCCACTTCTCTGTGTCAGCAGTTTAGATGCCAAGTGCTTCAACTCCTACTTCTTGCCAAAAGAGGGGGCCATTGGAATAGCTTAAATAGCAAGGCTGCTGTTTTCAGAATGCCTTACCTCTGACAGCCACTAACCTGATGTTCATTTGCCTTATTCTTTATTGAATAGTTACTTTAGGCTCTCTTTCTTTGTGTTTACATGTTAAAACAGATGCAGCTGTATACTTCACTAAACAATCCATATCCACATCCACATTAATTAATGAAGTCATGGATATTAAGATATGTAGGAAAGTGCAAAGCAAAGCACAAATTCCCTCTGGATATATTAGTTACAGTACTGTCACACACAAGATTAGTCTATTCTGAGCACAGCTGTGTGTGTGTGTGTGTGTGTGTGTGTGTGTGTGTGCGTGTGTGCGTGCGTGCGTGCGTGCGTGTGTGTGGTTAAGGAGGAAGTGGATGAGCCATTGGTGCAGGGTAAGAGAGAATTGGAGAGGGGATGTAGAGGGCTAAGTTTAAGCAGACCAATATCAGCATCCACTGTGCATGTGTGTGTGTGTGTGTGTGTGTGTGTGTGTGTGTTTCATGTATCTTGAGTTCAGAGGGAAGGAACCCATCCAAGATTATTTTCAGGGTCACTCTTTATAGGCTTCTGTCTTTTATGGGTAATTGTGTTTTTCTTTTTACAGACGTTCGAGTCGATTGCTTTTGCAAATGGGCTGACAGAAACTCAATCCATATTACAATTTTTATTAGATCACAGCCTATGAAGGGAAATTGAATGACGGGATCTTGTAATACTCCGATCGTGCAGAGCAGAATGCGTTATTAAAGACATAAATTATGAGTGTAAATAATGAAGTACAGTGTTTGATTTTATGCTGATTGATTTTCAAGGAGGGAAATATTTCTTTATTAGGATAAACAGAATGTGTGCCTGTTTGTGTCAGTGGCCATTCTTCTGAAGTGAGTTTTCAATGAGAAACTAGAGATTGCCTTGGTGTTTGGACAGTTTGAGAGTAATGATCATCGCTATCTTAGGCATCTGTGCTTCTCTTGTCTCAGCAAAGAGCTGGTGTATTAGTCATCGGATGCCCTTTTTTTTTTATTAAGGCCCACGCTTAAACTTCTCATGGCGAATATAATAATTTATGGCGTCTGGTGGTGGATTGCGTGTTTTCTCTGAGGGTGGATAATTTTCATTGGCTTTATATATCTATCTGTGCACATACATTGTAAATTAAATCTGCCTGTTAGCCATGTGTATTCTCTACGTTTAAACAGGGTTAAAAACAGAGAGAGGATCAAATCTTCACACCTGAGTTTGTCCGTTACGACCCCGGTTACTAAAACGCAGCATGACCACCCTCATCAGGGCCCCTTCTCTGAAAGGCGGGCCTGAGGTCCGGTTTCACCAAGCACGGATACGATGGGGGATGGTGGGGTCAGCCCAAGAATAGATCAGAACAGCCTTTCGTCCCAACTGTCCGCTCCGCCCCCTCCGTCCCTCCATCGCAAGTCTTTCCATCAGATCAGGGTCATCTCTATGTAGTTTCTTCTCCCCAAGATGCATGTTGGCATGATTTCTATTTTTGAAAATCTTTCATGCTCAGCTCCCTTTCCTGTCATTCTCCTGCCACCCACCCAGCACCATTCTCTGCTCTTTATCTTACTCCTTGTCCACCTCCCATCTTTTTTCCCACCTTCCTCCACTGTTGTTCTTCTGTTCTCTCTCTTCTTTGTGTCCTTCTGTTGCTGTTTCACCTGCTCCCACCTCTTCTCCTCCTCTTCCTTCCCCTAACTTCTCCTTCCAGAAGGGCCGTCTGAGACAGTCCACATGTCCTACCTACATGTGTCATACCTGGGAACACCTGTTCCCTACATACTGACCTCCTTTTCCAATTTCCGAAAGACACACACACACAGGTACAACACAGACTGAAAGAAAAGTTTGAATGGAGATGTCACTTGTCTGTGTAACTTCTGGTCATGCTGCTGATTCCTGTTACATGTGTTGTAACTGATAGTGCTGATATGTCACCATTTCTGCTTCCTTTTTTCCATACATCTGAAGGCATCTCTTGCCACGTGTATATTAGGTGTTTTCCATGTTTTACTAATATATGTCTGCTGAATTCTGTTCTGTGTATCACCTATGGGCCCTGCGATGGCCTGGTGACCTGTCCAGGGTGTACCCCGCTTTTCGCCCAATGTAAGCTGGGATTGGCTCCAGCCGCCCACGATCCTGTACGCAGGATAAGCGGTTGACGACGGATGGATGGATATCCCCTATGGGTTTAGTGTGCAACTCATGAAATCTGGCTTGCTGTCTTCCTCCTGTATTCAGGTGGGCTCCGACCAAGCTGTTTCTGCAAAATGCTGCCATCCCATGTATTGTCCTAAATGCTTTGGCACAAGTTGAATGCGCTTAAAAGAATAATTTTTAGGCCTTTTTCAAAATTGGGTTTGTTTGTCTGATTCCCAGCCTGAGTTTAATTGTCTCCTCTCCCCCAAACCTGCTGGTCTGCTTTCATACTTGCTTACTGTTGTTTCTGTCCATGCTATGTTTACGTAATGCTTTCCTCAACAAATTGTAGGCGTTTACCATTGCTGCCAGGAAACAATGCTGGATCCCTTTCTGGTGTTCTGCTGGCAAAATGGAGAACAATGTACAGGTGGAGCCGTGCTCCTCGTCCACAAACCTCCTAGGAAAGAAATGTTGTTTTGCATCAAGTTGGAGTCGTGTTATTTTACTCTCACATACCAGCGAGGTATTTTATCTCTACTGTTCTGCTGTTAGCAATGAAAGAACGGCAGTAATGTTATCATGACATGTGAACAAGAATGTATTTCTTTGTATTTCATTCAGACTCAGCAGTCAGGCTGGAAGTGATCTCAGTCCACCTTTTCAGGTTGAACAAAAATATCTGGGTGAAAAAAACTCACATTCTGTACCTTACAACACACGCATATGTACATAGCTTGTTGATGTTCACGTTGAACATTGTAAATTATGCACAGCCAATTTTCTTCTCTTGACCACGGAAGCACAAACTGCCCGTAAGACAAACTTTTTCAATCGTTGCCTTTTCATTTAAGTGGAAGCTGAGAGAGAATCAACATAATTAGACTGGAATTGAATTTTCTAGCCAGGCCACATTCATTATCATTAATGAGTTTGAGCAGGTATGGACTGGGTGAATTTAACCTGGTGATGGTGCTGTAACTACAGAATGAAAAGTCAGCAACAACAGAAGCTACTTTTGATCAGTGTCAGCATTGTTACAGAGCCCACAACAATGTTATTCTTTACATAATCACCAAAAGAGGTAAAACTCCATAAATATGTATATATTTAATAGTGAAAATCAAATCAAAATAGTAGAGCCCTTGTGCTTCCACAGAGTCTTGGTCTCTACACTGAGCTGACTCAGAGTTATGACTTTGCAGTGACTTCCAGTGGCTGCCCAAGGGTGCCACGTTAATAGTCCTGGCCTTATGATACAGGGATTTGGAGGCTGATAGGGGGGTGAGGGGAGGGAATATGTTCAAAGGCAAATGTGACCTCAGGCTAAGTGTCAGGCTTGGTGCTGTGAAAGTGGGAAGTAACTTTGAAAAAAGTGGAAATAGAAAGTTCAAGGACTGGGGAAACAAAGGGCAAACAAGGACATTCATATTGCTTAATTCTAGTTTTCTACGAATTATTTAAGTGTCAGAAATTAATAGAGTGATTGATATATCCTGAATAAATAAAATGACCTTGACTTGACTTGAGCAACCAGAAGTAATATCCAATAAAGAGTGGAACAACATCCTCCTCTATTGGTTTGATTGGGTAAAGTAGAACCTGACCACTGAAACACATTTCATCTGAGCTCTTAACGATTTTTTGTTACCTGTGAAAGCAGTTTATAGTCCTTAAATTTTTTTACCCAAATTTAACCAGCCAACACTCTAAGCTCTCTCATACAACTCCGCTTTGTGAGTCACCTAGCGAAGAGCCGCAACTGCAATAAAACATCCTGTTTGTGAGAGCCAGCGAGAGCTTACCACACCATAAACGGAGGAAGAGATGGGAGTCTTGATAGGTGATGTTGACCCAGCGGTCATCCTTAAAACCATTACCACTCAAGTCGTGAAAGCAATTTCAATTTGTTCTAGATAACCTCCTTGCGAGAGGTTAGACAGGGCTGACATTGGACGTGTGATAAGAATTGTTTTCCAGGATGTGTGCTCAGTCAGTGGTTAATTCATTGTCTGTAATGCTGCAAAAACTAACTTTCATTTACTTTAATATAAACCAGACAACAACAAGTGATCACACATTCTGTTTGCTAGCTTATTGCCTCATAAATTCACACCAGTTATCTTCCGTGCGCTGAGCAGTGGTACCTCACTTAAATCATTCAGGCTGAATATTCATTGAGGACCAACTTAGTTAATGTGGCGTATAGCCTACTTTTGAAATAAATGACTGAATCAACAGATACATAAGCCTAACTACTTCTGGGGGCTCAGTGCTTTTTTCTCATAATGAGGGAAAGCTGAATATTTTACTTTTTCACTTCCAACTCACCAGGCTGCACCCGAACTTGTACTTGCTTCCTGGGGTACACTACGTCCACATTACAGCCTTGTACAGCATTAGTGAGTTGTGATCCTGAGTCAGCGTACCACTTTGAAGGTGAAAGTGTTTGCGTTTCCTCAGATTAATGTGGGACCTTTGACAGCATTTGAAGACAAACATTTGGGTTGAATCTATATGTGTGCCTTGTGTGTGTGTGTGTGTGTGTGTGTGTGAGAGAGAGAGTTTCCTCGTGTCTAATGTGCTGGAATTGTGTGTCTTGCATATGTGTGTTGCATTTGTTTTTAACTTTGACCCAGTATA